ATTATGGAGGAGCACCAAATTTTGCGTGTGATGATCCAGTCATTTATTGACCGTGGTGGTGCAGGCCCATCTTCTTCTCACACTCCGATGGAGGATTGAGCATCTTGTTGCTCTTATTACTTTCTATTCATTCTATTTGCTATTATATTATGTTGTTTGGATATTTTTGTTTATTTCGGGACATGTTTGGCATAACATTGTGGGTGCACTTTTCGATGTGCACATATTTTGATTTCCTTCCCAATTTATAATAAAGCATGACATGTTTTCTATCGATATATATGTTTATTCTTTTATGCTTGGAACCCAGTGTATGTTGACAGATTATCAGGTACAAGTTTGGGGTAGGACACTTGGCATTCCCTACGAGATTGGATGCGTAGCTTACATGCTTTAGCACTTGGTAGTGTTATTTCCTTTTACCCTTTCTGTATGCTTAGTTTTTATACTTGTCTTTATACATTGAGGACAATATATCGTTTAAGTTTGGGGGTGTTTGGGATACAACCATTTATATGCATAATGTTGTATAGTTCATTGTCAAATTGTGGTTATAAAATATATATATATAATTCTGAAAATAAAAAAATAGGCGAATGATTTCTTGTTATTGGAATTAAGTTTGGGGGTGGGGGATTTATGTGATTAATACAGTTTATATACTTATATATGATCACAAAATGATTGAAAGTTGCTAGTATGCATGTTTAGATGAAAAATGTCCATTACATGATTTAGGCATCTTATTTTCGAGTTTTTCATCTCTAAGTGACTTCACATTGCACATTAAGCACACCGGAATTTGCATCTCCTTCCTCATGGTATTGTAAAATTGGCTCCCTTAATTAATGAGTTGAATGAAATAAATCTTCCTTGGCAATGAAAAAATAAATTTTAAAAGAATATAATAATTTACATTCCTCTAACTTTGTCAACCGAATAGCCGGACCTTGTGTCTCAATAAGCATTGAGTGTTCGCATAAAAAGGAAGATAAGTAAAGAATGTAAAATGTATGGCTTATTTGAGTTCATAGCCAAACAATCCCGAGTTATTACGCTTGTTAGATTGTTTTTACACTTAAGACCATTTGATTTGGGAGTCGTTAGCGCAACGCTCGCTACAAGGGGTAGTTAGAAAGTTTAAAGGACTTGAGCATTGCACGGCCCTCTAAATATATATATATATATATATATATATATATATATATATATATATATATATATATATATATATATAATTCATGCCTTGAAAAACTATTTCAAAAGACAAGTTAAGGAAGTGGAAGCCATGATATAAACCATGAAAGGGTTAGAATGCATTTAAATAAAATAAAATAACTATCTTCACTTCTAAAAGAAGCTTGAGATGAATTCTATTAAAAATGATATGTTGAAGGTTGTGTATGTGGACTATTTTGTTGATGCATGAATGCTGGAAATTATACAGTGTTTTGAGATATCATTGTATGCATACTTGTTGTAGTCTTTATGATAGAATCCTCCCCAATGTCATATATTCTAACTTAAAAGAATAAGACTTTTTGTTAATGTTTGTGGGTATCATTTCTGGTAAACCCTCACGAGACTTCACTCGTCCTCTAGGGATACCCAGGGGTTTAAAAGGCTTGTTGCATGTGCTAAATGCAATCATTACTCCCACAAAAGAGGGTGTGATGGCCCTAATTCTAAGAACCCGGTGAGTCAGCGAGTAACCCAAAACCTGACCCGATGTCGAGTCCAAAATGCGGAAATAAGAAAGGAGAAGAGTCTCTAGAGGTAGACACTACCTCTAAGACACAAAGTGACCTCCCAATAGATCACAAGTCTCGGGTAGAAAATGAATGTGGAAGTGAAACAACAAAGAAGGTCATTAGAAGCAATGCCACCTCTAGGACGAAGGAAGATCCTCTAACGAGGCAACGATACACAGTATAGAACCAAATGCAGAAGCTAAGGTCATAAAGGTCAAGCGGTACCATCCGGCACCGATGACAGTCAAGGTAACATGAACTAGGTTAACTAGGTCATGAACGCCATAAAGTGGTATATGCTAGGTCAAAGGTGTAGATGGAAATGACACAGGGTCCTGAGATGAAAAGGCAATGACCAAACAAAGCAAGCCAAGGCAGCAAACATTTCAGTCGACTGAAATGAAGCTCATCAAAACGGTAGTCCGAAATAAAAAGGAAGGTTTGCCGGTTGTGGCATGAAATTTCTACAAATCAAGCATGCTAACCATAAATTAAGAAGATTAGTTCACAAAAAGCTCAAGAAAATGTGAATTAGAAACCCCTACCTCTTAGGATGCAAAACCCCCAATTCTAAGCCCTAGATTCGAAAATCAAGGTTTGACCAAAAATGAAATTGCTTACACCCACTTGTAGATCTCGCTGAGCTCTCTGGTTTGCCGCTAACGGCACCCAAAAATTCCCAACGACTGATGATTAATCAAGCTTTGAAAGCTTGAGAAGAAGAAAAAGAAAAAATAGAGGCGAAGAGAGAGTGCTGCCGGGGAGAGAGAATGAGAGAGAGAAATGTGAGGCCAAAGTTTGCCTCTTGGCCACTAATATGATAGTGGTGGGTCCCACCATTATAGGGTTTTTCTTTTTAACTTTTATTTCCCACCATAATGTATATATATGTACACTAAATGTATATATATGTACACTAACCATACAAATACCACATAAAATAAAATGAATGAGGTGCAACTGGACCCAAACAAAACTCCCGTACGAAACAATTCGGGTAGCGGGTCCCACACAGGACTTTCCGATCCAGAAAACTGAAACATGCCAAAATGATGACCGGTGCATTTTCAAGAGTCCTAAACTCAATGGAATCCCCAACCAACTCACGGACACACCGAGCACACTCCATAGTGTCTGACACGTAAAACGAGAAAAGACGAAAATGCTCTCAAAAAATCAGAAAATTCCCGAAAATGAAAAATGGCGAAAATCGGAAACATTACAAGAATGCCTAAGCAACTCCAAAATTATCTTCAAGGTTACCTCTCAAAGATCAAAAAGCAACCCATCCCTCGTATCAATTTTTCATTAAAACATCTCCCATCTTCTGCTAGTTGGATTCTACACAAGCACCCCAAGACCCCATCTCTTGCCTTTAATAAAAAACATACCGAAGACCACCGCGAAAATGATCATGGTGCAGCAACAGTTTCTGCTACATTTTTTGATATTGATCGGTTTTTGCATGAGAATTTCAAGTCATTGTATCACCTGACCTACATTCACCATAGCCATCACAAACTGCATTTATACATGGTAGAAGAATCACTGGTGTTATTCTTCTTGCACAAGAACTCACGAGGGGTTACCACAATTCAAACCTAGCCCCTAGGTGTGCATGGAAAGTTGATCTAAAGAAGGAATTTGACAGTGTGAATTGTAAATTTCTAATTGATACACTCACTTTACTTGGATACCCAGTAAAGATCATCATGTGGATTCAAACTTGCATCACCTCACACATTCACCATAGCCATCAATGGTGAGCTTCATGGATATTTCAATGGTGTCAAGGGACTTAGACATGGTGACTCTCTATTCCCATCACTTTTTTGTCTTGTCAATGGAGGTAATCTCATGCATTATCAGGAAAAACGTCATAAAAAATAGGTCCTTTAAGTATCACTGGAGATGTATAGCTGTGGGACTCATTCACCTAACATTTGTTGATTACCTTATACTCTTTTGCCATGGAGATATTGCCTTAATCTCCACTAAAAAATTAGCACTTGACCTATTCTCATCAATCTCTAGCCTATCTATTGACCCATCAAAGAGCTCAGTGTTTTTCTCTGGGCTGGACTACTCAAATAAACTCATGATGTCCACATTCTTGGGAGTTGACATAGGAGCACTGCCTATCAAACACTTAGGGGTGCGCCTCATCTCAACAGGCCTTAAAGTTATTGGTTGCAACATCCTTATTGACAAGATCACTGCAAGAGTGAACCACTGGGCATCTAAAAGTCTCTCATATGCAGGCAGATTGGTCCTTATAAAATCAGTTTTAATTTCCACACAAACGTATTGGTCCAAAATTTTCATCCTTCCAAAGAAGGTAATTGATGACATCAACACCTTACTGAGGAGATTCTTATGGTCTGGACCTAAGATGAAGAAATCTGGATCTAGAATTACATGGGGGTCAGTCTGTAAATCTAAAGTTGAAGGTTGGCTACGGTTACCAAACTTAGAGACAGCCAATAAGGCTGCCATTCTAAAACATATTTGGAGCCTTAAAACAGGTAGCAGTCAAAGAATTTGGGTGCTATGGTGCAGGTCATACCTCTTCAATGACTGTAATTGTGGACAGTGAAAATTCCACAAGTGTGCTCATGGAGTTAGAAGAAAATTCTACAATTGAGGGTTCTTGCTAGGAAGATGATAAAGCACAAAGTGATGAATGGCGACAACACCTTTTTCTGGGCATTCGCACAACAGTTATCTTCCATCATCCCTCAGCTTTTACTGCTTCCATCTCTAGACATTTCATCATCACACAAAATCATTTGGAGTGCAAGTCCCAATGGAGATTACTCACTCAAACATACCCTATATGCACTCTCTCCCGAACCCTCAATGCTAACTGGTCACAACTGGTATGGGATTCAATTGCCATTCTAAGGCAAAAAAAAAATGATTCTTTGGATTGCTATACAGAATCGATTGCCAACCTTGGATAGCAAGATCATGTCAAAAATTGTGCCCAAAGTCTGTCTCCTCTGCTCTTCCAAACCGGAATCACACTCGCACCTATTCTTTGATTGTGAGTTTATTGCACCAATATGGAGATTCATACAACATAGATGCAGATGTTACACAAGAAGTGATAATTCGCCCCAATTTGTCATTTGGACAAGTCAACAATGGGTTAACAGAAACCCTAGAATCATGCTCTACAATTGGCTCTTACAGTCATGATCTACACTACATGGCAAGAAAGGAATAATAAACTTTACAAGAACCAACCTTCATCACAATCAAAGATGCTGAAGCTTGTTGCCCATTGCAGGATCACTCAAAATTTCGAAGAAAGAAACTATTTCTACACTTGCATAGGAATGAAGCCTGATTGCTACTCCTCTCCGGCCACCGCCATGACCTCCGGACTGATTGTGCGGGTGATTCGTGTCATCATCAGCTTCGGTTGATCACCGGAAGGAGAACTTACATCCATTGCTAACTGCTACTGAACAGTTATCAACGGATGTTCATTGATTGCTAGGGATAATCGTTCTAGATGGGGATGGGTTTGGGTTCACTCTTGTGTCCATGGCCTTGGGCCTTACTGTTAATACATAATCTTTTGGGCCGCCTGTTGTTAGGCTGTCTTGGTCAATCGGTCATGTACATTCTTTTACATATATAATATTGTTTAAACATTTGAAAAAACAACAACAACAACAACAACAACAACAACCGAGATCATTCACTGCTTTAACCATCATTTAGGCATCTCCTCAAAAAATGACCTAATCAATATTCCATTATGAAGTTACGAGAATTGCCCTTCTAAGAACGACTATATTTGATTACCGTTTCACTCTCACCTTTCGAAAGGAAGACGAGTTAAATATTAACTTCAACAAAATTTGAAGGAGGGGATTCCACCGCATCTTACTAAATAAGCCTTCTGATCTAAAAATATATATATAGATAATTTTAAAAGAGTTACAACAAATTATCAAAATCGAGTCACAACAATATATCTATATCAACCTCATTCCACCATTTTATTTTGAAAAATTCAATCGTTACGAACTTTCCAAATCTGCCAATGTACTGAGGTAAGCTGCAATTCCTCCCTTCAAAGCCCACCCATTCGGACATTTGTCCCAATGAGATCCAGTCCCATTTGCAATGGCCCACAGCCAGATCACCTATCTTAATGAGGAAATTTGCCACGCTTGAACAGCTAATGTCATTACTTCATAATGGTGGATATGGGCACTTTTGAAACTCTCACGAAGGTTAATCACCAAAAATTGAAGAAAGAAAAAACTTCCAATAACTTCTCATTGAAGACAACCTTACTAGATACCAATGAATCAATGTAATTCAATCCAAAAACTCCATCCACATGAACATTAATAGTAGTAATTTATATATCTTTATATTCACCAACCTAAAGACTAATAAAAATTGAAGAAAAAACTTCCAATAACTTCCCATTGAAGATAATTTTACTAAATACGAATGAATCAATGTAATTCAATCCAAAAACTCCATCCATATGAACATTAATAGTAGTAATTTATGTAACTTTATATTCACCAACCTAAAGGCTAATAAAATTTAGAAAAATCACATTAATTGTGTCCACTTAACAACCTCTTCACAACCAATTCTTACCTCAATAATTATCAAAAATAAAAATAAATAAATACAAAATCTTACCTCAATAATTATCAAAAATAAAATAAATAAATACAAAATCTTAACTCAACAATGCCCAAAAACATTTCTTATTAAATTCAAAATCTACAATAAAATTGTCAAAATCTTACAAAATGGAGAGGCATAAATCCCCTTCATTTAAGTACCTATCTCTCTAGCTTAAATGCTCAATGAAAGCGTTTTCCAATACATTTATTTTTTACTTTCCTTGAAAATTTATATATATATGATATCATATATGACCAACCCATCTCTATAGTTTTCACACAAAACCAACATAGTGAACACAGGGCCAACTAGAGAATGCCTAAGCAACTCCAAAAGTCTCTTCAAGGTTACCTCTCAAAGATCAAAAAGCAACCAATCCCTCATATCAATTTGCCATCAAAACATCTCTCATCTTCTGCTAGTTGGATTCTACAAAAGTGCAAGCACCCCAAGACCCCATCTTTTTCCATTGATAAAAAACAAACCGAAGACCACCGCGAAAATGATCATGGTGCAGCAACAGTTTCAGCTACACTCTCTGATATTGACCGGTTTTTGCATGAGAATTTCAAGTCACTGTATCCGAAGAACGACGTTGACGATGAGGAAGAAGATGGTCATGGTGATGAAGAATCGGGTGGGTTTTTGTTCGACTCGCCTAGGTTTATTGATCCACCACCGGATCTCTGTCACTCTCACCGGTTTTTCGTACCATCCAACTCATCAAGATCACTCGTAGAGGGAACCGGAACAAGCACAACCATGTCCGAGGCCATGGGGTCAAGCTCCACCACCTCAAGTTTTCCCCAAAATGATGCAACATGTGATGGTGCTGATGTTAATGAAGTAAAGGGTTTTGATGACTTCATTTCTGTGTTAACCTACTCTACGAGTCCATGCCACGATTTTCGACTCTCCATGCAGGAGATGATTGAAGCAAGATTGGACCAGCATGGAAAGGTTGATTGGGAATTCATGGAAGAGCTTTTGTTTTGTTACTTCAACTTGAATCACAAGAAGTCACACAAGTATATAATAAGTGCTTTCGTCGACCTGGTCATCGTTTTACGTGCAAACTCCGGTGAACTTCCGGTGAGATTGCGTCAACTGCGATCCACAGGCGAAAGGAGGAAGAAAAGGGAAGTTGCAACGCGTGAGATTTGATTTAATCATGGACTTGAGAAGAAAGAATTTTAAGGGCAATGCAAGCAATATTAATGGTGTAGGATCACGTGCAATCCATGCATTTAAAATACATACATGATGTTATATATAGGTAATCTTCAAGGAAAAACACTATTGTGTTTTTTTTTTTTTTCAAGGTAAATAAGGAAAAACACTTTGTTTATAATAGTTTTAGTCGCATTTTCCTTTAATAAGATATTTCAATTGCATTGTTTGTAACAACCATCTTTTGTTTACATACAAACATATCAACCACATATACGTCTTACTTATCGAGATAATTTTTTGAGATACGTAAAAAGAATCAATGAATCATCTAAAACATCTTTCAATTTGGTGTGTAAATATAAAAAACTCGCGACTCTAATCATGAGAGAGCTCAGTTAAAACATTATCTTTCTTTTTAAAGCTAGACAACCAGTTTTATACTGTCACGGCCTGCAAATTCTGTAGATCAAATTCATTTTTGCTCATCAAAGGTTCCCCAAGTATCTGTACTGAGAATTTCTTTATACACATTGAGCAGCTTATACAACCGTTAAATTTTCACTTTTCACTTCTGGTATCCGAAGACCGTTAGCCGAAAGAATCAAATATCTTGTTTAAATAATTACTGCAGTAAGTAAAACCTATTTACAAGACAAAAGAAACAAATGAATTCTGGATCCACAAATTCTTTATCAGAATTTATAAGAAAGCATGCTAAACTTTTAGCTCCTGTTACATAACACTACAAGAGGGGCACCTTCGATTGCCACTGCCATTGCCATTCTTAGATTGAGCTCAATCGTCTTCAGCATTACTTCGCTCCTTTCTCGTAAAGTTATGGAAGGCTAAAAGTCTCTTGCAGCAAGAATGCTGAGAAAGCTGAAGGTAAGGGCTTGCTTTACATCTTTCTCGGCTACATACGTAAATTCTATCTACTTGTTAGTAGGGGGCAACTTCAATTTCAAGCAAAAACTTCATATTTGTAAAACGCACTGGCAGCGTCTCATAGCACAAGGCAAGAAATGTTTCTCAAGCCTCCTTCGCAGTTTAAATTAAATTAAACCAAATAAACTATCATGTCGAGGTTGCAATTTGTTTTTCCTTTTCCTTTTTATTTATTTTTTCTTGAAAGCACGAATTAAAGATTTTCTGTTCAAACATCACCACTCAGATGCCCTGCAAATCAAGATAATGTTGTTATAATTTCAAGATGCACGCTGAAAATTAACAATTATTTCAAGGGACTTACACGATCAACCACACGTAGAGGATCCTTTAGGAGTGTCAGGCGAGTTTGTCTCAGAGTTATTGAGCCTCTCCAATGATTTATGCTGCAACATAAAGAATGAAAATATGGCTGCCCTCCTTAATGAGATGCACAAGAAGAAAAATGACGGACAAAAAACAATAATTTTTAACTGGATAATTCCTTCAATATTCAATTTTGTCCAGCCCTGACTGGATAATTCCTTCAATATTCAATTTTGTCCAGCCCTGACCTTTCACATCAGTTGCCCCTTATGCCTTAATCTTTGATTTGTTGCTACGGAAATTGTTTTCTTTATCCAGCCAAAAATAAAGAAAACAGCAACAATAGTTACTAACTGGAAAATTCCTTCAATATTCTTTTAAGCTTGGTTTGTTGTTACAGATATCGTTTCCAGTAGACAGTTCATTCTCAAAGAAATTAACTTGCAATGTTGTCAGGCATATAGATGAAAGCCACGGCAGATCTAGTAGATGGACACCGCCATGAATGAACGAACAGCTGGAGAGAATCTGGGAGATAGTTGTTTCAGGTTCATGGCTCTCCTATGCATGATTGAAAATTTTAACATGCTTTTCAGATTGTGCTATGGTACAATAGTCTACATCAAATTAGTCCTTTATCACGTCAGATATCTAATTCATACTCTGCTCTGCTCACCATATTACTTCTGTTAGGAACTTAATACATGCCGTCTCTTGTAGTTCATGGACTAAAAATGAAGCACTCGGAATTTTAAACAACATAATATATATGTATATACACAATTACTAGGGGGGATGTTTCTTACATTCACATCAGCTGCATCTTCAATTGTTTTAAGATACTGCTCATATAAAGAATGATATTTTGCAGGGATATAATCCTTGAATCTGTCAACAACGACAACAAATGATTGAGATCTGGGGAACCTATGATAATTGAATGCAATTTTTCATAAAGATAAATTTATTGAACACAAAAAGGAAATTCATGACAAGGAGATAACGGAGTTATAGGAAATATATATATAAACAACAGAACAAAATGTAAAACATTATAAACTAAAGAGTACTTTCAGCCTCAAATCTATCAGACTGGCAATATGAAAGGTTTTGAAGAAGAACTAAGTTTATTACACACTAAGGTTGAGGACCTTCAGGTCAGTTCCACAAAAAACAATTAATTTGAGAAGTTCTATAAAAATGACATCCCAGCAAGCAGCAACATTGTGAAGGCAGTAATGACAAGGAAACCCCTCTATGTTTTTTGATGAGTTGGAACTCTTCCCACCTTTACAGATGTAAAAAGGAAAGAACTCAAACTGCTTTTTTGAAAAATAAAATAAAAAATCCCAGTTTCAGCTAATTTATTACAACTTAAAAAAATTTTATAGGGTGGCTTAGAAATTAACAACACTACATTTTTTATGGCGTCAAATGGTAGGCAGTGAAGCAATAATATACCCACAGGGCCACAGAATGAACACGGCGTAATAAAATACTGGGATAGATTATTGGCAAGGCAAGGATGGATGGAACACAGGCTAGATTCACTAGTTGAAAACTATGTGAGTAGAAGTTGTCTAAAATAATTTGCTGATGTCCAACATTGAATGACGAAGAATCTGGGTGAAGGTTGAAAGTGAAAACATGAAGGCCTAAAGTCGAATAGAAGATCCAGCATTAACTAGAGCTAATTGCAAAAAAATAATTAATGGGTCAACCTGAAGAAATTAAGATAAGGATTTGCTTAATTGAGTTGACTATATTCACTCCATCTTACATAATAGAAAAGGGGAATAGGCATTGGTAACCAAGGAAGGGCGCATTTGAATTATCGAGTGCTGACTGCTGACTTAAACTGCATAGGAAGAAATACTAAAACCATTTGCTACTAAATGCATGATGAATTTATATGTTCTCTTTTTGGTTTTATTTTTTCTAAAAAATGGAGAGCATGTTCAGAAAGAGGCAGCCCAAATTTATGATTAAAATTCATCTTTGATCAACGAATCCAGAAACAACATGCTTCTAAGAAGGGGGAAAAAAAAGAAAAAAAAAAAAGAAAGTATTATTAAATCCAGCAAAAATTAAGATAACTTAACATAGTGGAACAAATAAAAGATGCAGAATGCGTTGTGTATTTACGCTGAAGTATCCATCATGTAATGTAACAGTATCAGTATTAATTACTTCAAAATTGCTTCAACTTTCTACTGAACATATTAATTATAAACAATAATATGGAAAAACTGAACTTGCATAAATACTAAATGGTGTAATGACTAAAAGACTCCAATCACAGAGAAAGCAGCATAGCATAATAATTGAGGTGCTGCAACCACAGAGTGCAGCAGTTGAATTTATGTTACCCTTAATTTCTGAGGAACTCAACTAATGAATATGAACAACTCATGAACAAAGAATACTGATTACCCTGCAGCAAGAATGGTCACTAATATTTTAGATTATAGAACTATAGATAGCACTATATACCTTTGAAAAAGATAGAGCCTATCTGGAGAAGAGAATAGTCTGGCAATGGATTGTAAAACATGACCTATCTTCATTGCCTTAGACCTAAGCGCCTTCATAAAACCCACAAATTCTTTATATTCAGCATCAGTAAGCTTCCCTTGAACCTGTAAGTGTTAAAACTTTAACAAATATCCTTAATCTAATTTGCTATTTGAAACGCAAAATAACGAAACTATACAACATAGCAGTAATAGTTCTTACAACTTCAATGGAAAGGTACAAGAAACCTGCTCCCAGTTACAGACACTTGAGTTCAAATTTATAAATATTAATAAAAAATGAAAAGGCAAAACTTGAAGAGAACATGCGTAGGAAAAAGGAATAGCCTGACATCACATATAAGGTATTGCTCAAACTTCTTCACCACCGGTTAATATTATTCCATATATATATTTTGACAAGTCATCTATATAAATAGTACCAACTTCAAAACTTAAAAATAAACTTCCAGCTTAAAAATGACACGAGCCATTTTGTCATCTGTTCATGAGCCAAACAAGCTAAGCATGGTGCGTGTTTATTAGGTAAGCTTGAAAATGGGGCTTTAGCATGGCCCATTAAGCTTATTGAATGAGCCTAATATAGGTCAAAGCCCAAGCCTCACTTGCTGCTCTAATATGTAATTATCCAACAAACCCGAATATTTTTCTTTTCTTAATATTTTGATATTGAAAATCATCCTTTCCACATTGGTTCCATCCCATGTTTCATATCAATACACGGGAACATCTTTTAACTGATTCCATTGCTGATACTGTACGTGCCTAACATTTTCCCTTCATATTCGTCTTAGGTTTTTGTAAGTTTCTCACAAAAGCACAAAACATTTTGAAAGCACTTTATAGTTTATAGGAACTTCTAGATTTGGGGAATCCATAAAGAGTATCAAGAAAACATTTGAAAGCTTCAGCTGTCAAACATTTCCCAGATGTTCTTTAATGTTCCCCATACATTTTCCATTTAATATGTTCCTACATTTTATGTTCAGACATTTTCTTAAGACATCTTATTTGTCATTATACATATTTTATAAGATTCCTTTTACATTATTCTGAAGTTTCATACACATTTTTTGGACATAGATCCTCTCATGTTCCTCTTTTTGTCCCGCGTTGTAGAAGAAATAAAAAAAGAAGAAAAATGAGAGAATTGTATAAAAGCTTGAATGAGATAAATCACTCATTCACAACCCTAGTATTTATAGATAAAAAGAGCATATGCTCGTATTACAAGAAAGGAAATTAAATCAAATCACAGAATATTCTATTATGGCATATTCTATAGCATAATCAAATCTCTACTAATACGGTAAGTCATTCCATAAAACGCGGCTATCATATCTGCTAACACTCCCCCTCAAGTTGGTGCATGGATATCTGAAACGCCCCAACTTGGACACTGACACCCTTTGTAAGAATGTCTTCAAGCTGCTAAGAGCTTGTGACAAATGAAGTGCAAATTCGACCAAAGATGATCTTCTCTCGAATGTACTGACGGTTCACCTCTATATGCTTAGTCCTGTCATGCTGAACGGGATTTGCTACTATGCTAATGGCAAACTTGTTGTCGCAATAAAGTAAGAATGGAAGTGACACTGGAAGACACAAGTTTGTCATCAAGGTTTTCAGCCATAGCAACTCACATACCCCAAGAGTCATAACCCTATACTCTGCCTCTGCACTAGCTCGCAAGACAACATCCTACTTCTTACTGCGCCAAGTAACCAAGTTACCACCAATAGTGGTACAATAGCCCGAAGTTGACCTCCCATCTAAAATTGATCCTGCATAATCAGCATTTGTCCAAGCCTAAACACATAAGTGACCATGATTGGCAAACAAAATACCATGGCCCAGACACCCTTTTAAGTTGCGAAGGATCCGAATAGCTGCATCAAGGTGAGGAGAGTGTATGAATTGACTCACGACACTCACGGCATAAGCAATGTCAAGTTGAGTCATGGATAAATAGATGAGCTTCCCCACAAGTCATTGATACTGACCAACAACCACCCCCCCCCCCCCCCCCCCCCCCGGGCGCTGGTGGCGGAATCAACCAACCGATAATTTTGCTTAATCAAAGTATCAACAAGACGAGCGCCAAGCTGACCAGAAGCAAAAAGCAAGTCAAGAACATATTTGCGTTGAGAGATGAAAATGCCAGCCTTAGAGCGAGCCACCTCAATGCCCAAGAAGTACCGAAGGGGACCAAGATCCTTAATCTCAAACTGACGGCCAAGATAGCTCTTAACCTCAGCAATTCTGGTAGTATCATCTCCGGTAACAACAATATCATCGACATACACAATGAGAGTAATTGTCTTACCGCCTAAATGACGTAAGAACAAGGTATGATCAGCTGCACCCTGATGGAAACCAAACTTGAGAATGGCAGTGCCAAAGCAATCAGACCAAGCTCGAGGAGACTACTTAAGGCCATATAGGGAACGATGAAGACAATAGACCATACCAGAATGAGCAGGAGAACGAAAGCCCAGAGGGGGAACCATATACACCTCCTCCTGCCAATCACTATTGAGAAAGGCGTTCATGACATCTAACTGAAATAGAGGCCAAGATCGAATCGTAGCAAAGGAAAATAATACACGGATGGTATTCATCTTGGCAACAGGGGCAAAAGTCTCCTGATAATCTATGCCATAAGTCTACGTAAACCCTTGGCAACCAACCGGGCCTTGTAATGAGCAACCCATCTGGATTATGCTTAACTTTAAACACCCAACGATAACCCACAGCCTTTCATCCAATAAGAAGCGGAACCATTTCCCAAATCCGATTTTTCTCAAGTCCTTGTAGTTCTTTTGTTAGAGCATCACGCCATTAAGGTTATGCTAGTGCATCTGCAACACTAGAAGGAAAAGGAATCGAGGCAACATAAACAAGAAAACTCCAATAGGAGGGTGAGAGAGCACAATCAGAAACAAGATTAGAAATAGGGTCTGTACAAGAATGTTTACCCTTTCAAAGAGCAATGGGACGATCATCAAGCGAAACAATAGTTTGAGAAGGTGGAGCTGGTGCCGAAGGAACAGGGCAGTCGATCGTGGGCGTAGAAGCTTGTACCTGTTGTCTTCGACTATAAACCTGTGGAAAAGGAACAATTCCCCCGCTAGAGGAGTATCACGGGGAGGAATCATAGAAGACGAAACGGGTAAAGGTAAAGGAGTTGGAGACAAGAAGGTGATCATCAATTATATTCAATGGGAACCATTCAATTTGACAACCAATTGAACCACTATAGAATGGTGTATGCTCAAAGAAAGAAACATCCATGAATATAAAACACCAACGACTGGGAGGATGGTAACACCTATAACCTTTTTGAGAGTGAGAATAGCCCAAAAACACACTTTAAAGCCTTAAGGTCAAGCTTTGTACGAGTCTGTCCCAACTACTGAACAAAGCACACACTCGAAGACTCGCGGAGGAATAAAAAAAATAGATGAATTGGGATTTAAGATTGAGAATGGGGCTGCAAAGTTAAGAACCCTACGAGTCCTATTAATGATGTAAACAGCTGTAAGAACTACATCTCCCCAAAATGAGTAGGGAACATTCATGCCAATGCAGAGCAAGATGTGGCGATTCTTTCTCTCAAAACAGCCCTTCTGTTGAGGGGTTTTAACATTAGACATCTGATGCTCAATCCCAAATTTTGTACATAACCATTGTACCTCCCCATAAGTGTACTCCGTACCATGGTCAGATCTGAATTTTTTAATGGTATGACCATATTGAGTCTGAACCATTGTTATAAAATCTTTAAAAATAGTGTACACCTCATTTTTTGTTTTCATAAGATAAACCCACGGAACACGACTATGATCATCAATGAACAATACGAAATATCGAAATCCAAGACTAGAAGTAACTGGGTAAGGACCCCACACTTCTGAATCAACAAGATCAAAAGATGTTAAAGTAGATTTATTACTACTAGCAGGATAATTGGAACGAACATGGTTAGCCAGGTGACACATCTCACAGGATAAATCTAAGACTGCCAAGTTACAAAATAAGGAAGGAAATAAATGTTTTCAATAACCGAAAGAAATGTCATAAACGCATGTGCCAACGCATAAGCTGGGTTTTATTAGATAAAACAGAATTAGAAAATGAAACTGAATGTGCTTGAGGTGACAAAGGAGCATCCAACAGGTATAAACCGTCCACTTCACACCCACTGCCAATCGTCCATTTCGACACCAGAACCTGAAAAATACAATGAGAGGGAAAAAACGTTACACTGTAATTTAATTGTTTAGTAACGCTACTAACAGAAATAAGATTTGTAGTCGACTGTGGAACATGAAGTGTATCTGACAAAGTTAATGAAGGAGTAACTAATATGTGACCCTTCCTAGCAATGGAAGATGGAGAGCCATCAACAAGGCGTACCTTGCGATGGCCGCAACAAATACTATAAGATTGGAAGAATGAGGACATACCAGTCATATTGTCAGAAGCACCAGAATCAATGATCCATGGTGTCAAAGATGTAGATACGCTATGTGCAGATGCAATAGTACCTGAGTGGGCAGAAGTGAAGGTTGGCTAAGATGATGCCTCCATTTGGTTGAAGAATTGTTTGAACTTGTCCAAATTAACTGGAGTCAAGGTAACTGTGGCAGAAGATGTTGAGGAATAGTTGTCACGAGTTGACAAAGAGAGTGGTTGTGTAACAAAATGTGCAAAGGATCGAGGCTGTTGTTTCTGTTGCAGTGGGCGTCCATATAGAGCATAACAACAAGATATGATGTGACCAATTTTTCCGCAATGGCCACACCACCCACGTTGTCGTCGTATAGGAGGACTTGTGGTAGAACTCTGAACTAACTAGGTTGTGCAGTTCCTGAAAAGTTGGGAACCCGAACTGCCATAGCGAAACGATCAACAAAAGTAACACCTAATGGATGAGTCCGACAGCTCTCATCTAACAAGACATAGGAGTGTGCATCCTCAAGAGTAGGGAATAAAGATATGCCTAATAAATGAACATAAGCATACTCAAACTCGTCGTTCAACCTGGCAAGAAACTGAAACACTCAATTCTTCTCCACAGTCCCTGCATATAAAACTGCATCATCTGGATCCGTCCAAGAGTGGAAGGAATCATAATGACATCTCCTCCCAAATAGCACGAAGCTTGGCGATGTAACCTAAAACTGTCAAGTCACCGTGAAATATCCTGGTGATATCTCACCCCAACTGGAAAATCTGTGCATTATTCTACCTCTGAAGTGCGTTGAACTGAATCCCAAATCTGCTTAACAATCTTCATAAACATATAAGCAATGGCTATATTTGGCTACATCGAATTGACTAGCCAAGATATAACCATAGCGCTATCTGCAAACCACTGTGGATATGCTTTGTCTGACTGAGCTAGCTCTTTCTCAGAACTAGTAATATAGCCAATCTTACCTTTGCCACCAATGAACATCTTGGAAGACTATGCCCAAATCAAATAGTTGGAGCCATCCAACTTCACTATGGTGATTTGAAGTCCTGGATTTTCTTATAAGTTGGTGGAAGAAATGGCACCACCACCCACAGGACTTGAGCAAAGAGAATTAACAGTCGAGGACCCTAAATCTACCATAATCTATCACACAACAATAAAAAAACTCCAAAAACACCACAAATTCTGTTAAAAAATCACAGTGTCTCCTCAGACTATAAACAATAACAATGTCTCCTTAGACCATTCCCAAAAAATCCAAATACATATTTTTTTAAGGAGCGCTTCCCGCTTACATATAGCTAAACAACCTCCTCCTTAATATCCGAAACCTCTTTATAGACTCAAAAAAAATTTATCCAAGCCCTTCTACGTGTTGGAGACCAACTATCCCAATTTACCCAACCCTAGAAAAGTAAAAAGGAAATTGTAAAACATAAAAATACCTGTTTTTGATCACAAAACAGAAACATAGAAAAACATGTGTAGACAATGTCTCACACGATGTTACAAACAACCTAAGGTCGCTGTCACATAAGTAACAAGGCTGCTGAAAGGTGCGGAAATGGACAAAGGACGGGGAAGGAAAAGGAGAGGATCCAGATCAACCTTTTTTAATAGCTGTTTCTCCTTTCAGTTTTCATGATGTTTCCTTTTCTTAATGAAGAAAGCATAATAGAGGACCCTGTGTGGTCAGGATACACATAATTGACCTGCTCTCTGTCTCAACTTTGGAAAGACCAACAACTTGTGATCAAATAACATATGTTGATTGAATAAAAATTAAAAATAGTAAAGCACCAACAAGTATATATTATATTACTAGTTCTCACATTTTCCAAAATCAGAGGATAGAGCAACATTTAACAAGAGTTTACCAGTGTCAAAAAAATGCTATTTCAAGATCAGTGTTATTAAAGGCTCAAAGTGTTGGGATTATGTGCCCTAAAAGCCAATTATATACTTTTAATATTCGACATTTAGTTAATAAATGTGATTTATTAAATTAAATATTCATGCATTGGCGCTCGGGTTTTTCATATATTTGCATGAAATGCATTATAGTCCTCAAGTTGCATTATAGGTGACAAGTGTGAGAATGAGATTTACACAGGAGATTTGAGCTTACCGGTTTCTTGCACCTTGGCATCGTTCGCAGTCGATAATAAAAGTTGGGCACTTTTATCTATAAGATTGTAACATACTTAACCACTATGAGATAGGATGGTTTGTCTCGACCATTGGGGTAGTTGACTCTAAGTTAGTGTGTTAGTGTGATTTGAGTACACTGAACTGGATCACCATAAGATCACACAATACAAATTACTGTCATTATTTTGGTGTGATTCTTATCTACTAAATACATTAAGCTCTAAATCTTGAAAGGTTTAGTGGACTCATGTTTCAATATTGGTCACTTTGAATTATTAATGTGTGAGATCTTTTAAGGTCAATACCATGGTATCTTGGGTGGCTAATGTTGGAGCTATGGGAATACAAATGCTCAACACATAATCCACTCTTTATAAGAGTTAGAATATCTCCTTGATGCAATTTAATAAGTTTGATCGCTGAAACCTGGCCGGGACATTTTAGAAAAATGTTTACTAAATTATTTTTTTATTTATTTACTTAGTAAAATATTTCTTTTCAAAATTCTTTTATAAAAGAATTCAATTCAATGACCATAAGGTACTCAAGAAATATAAGAAGTATGCCTTAGGTGGGATGGTATGAAATTTTCCTTGGGGCTACTTATGGATATCCGGTAGTGGAGGGCTTATATGTAATTATTTAGTAGGATAGGGCCTTGTTGTAATTTCCAAATCTTACAATAATATAGTGGTAATTATTGTAATTAATTGGATAGGGTAGAGTTATGAGATAACTCAACCTCTATCCAATTAGAGCTAAGACAAGGATTCCCTTTTGATCCTCATCTCTAGCTCTATCAGTTAGATATCGTTATTGCCCTCAAGTCTCTATTGAATATAACAGACGTTAAAAAAAAAAAAAAAAAAAAGCTATCTTCTGAAACTAGAGAGAGCGAGGCTAATAAACAGAGGGTTCCCACAATCCATACAATCTATTCTAGGGTCATGGAGGTGAAGTTTCACTAGCGTTCAAGGCTAAAGGAGGAGTAAGTCCGACTCATTGTTGTTCTCAGAGTGTTCTCATATTTGACGATTAATCAATCGTCCAAAGGTATGAGATCATTTTCAGTAGTTTTTGATTTAGTGAAAAATCATGTGGTTAAGATCCTGAAATTAAATAGCTTCCATTTTGCCTTCACAAGGCGCACCACAGCGCGAGAGGTCCTCTGGAGTCTAGGCGAGAGGCGCACGCCCGAGTAAAGTGAGGCGCAAAATTGAAATTTTAAACTACCATAAAAGCATTTCATATCTCATAAGGCACGTATCAATATTCTAAAAGTTAATATCAAATATAAAAAAGTAAATCCATCAACTATATTAGCATTTAAGAACAATAAAACGGAGCACACATTTGTTTTCTTGAAAAGGCAAAACATAGCACAAAAAGAAATAAATCTATTAACAAAAAATAATAATAATAATAATAATAATAATAATAATAATAAAAGACACAGAGACAAAAGAAGTAGATGAAGAGAGAGAAAGTGTTAAAGAAGAAAAAATATAACCCAAAAAAAAAAAATGACAGAGAGAGAAGAACTAGACGGAGAGAGAGAAGTAAACAAAGATGAGAAGAGAGGATAAAGAAGTAGAGGAGGAGAGAGAAGAAGAAGAAAAAACAATTTGACTCTTAGACTTTCTTATTTGTTTATTAAGTTGCCAAAAGTACCCTTTTTGGCTTAAGAATAGAATAATCATTATAAAAAAAAAAAAACAATGATGAGCGCGTAGACAAATAGGACGAGGCGCAACCGAGGAGCGCGCCTAGTAAACATCAGTGTGCTTGAGATGACAACAGGCACTAGACCTACGCCCATGGACGGACCTAGGAAATTGAGGGAGGGGCAATAGTAGGGATTTTTTCTAATTTGGGGGCAAAAAAAGGAAAATTACTACTATTAATGCTATAAAAAAAAATAATAAAAAAAAAAATGGGAGTTGGGGGGGCACTATAGGTCCGTCCCTGCCTGCGTCTCGAGCCTATGCGCACACCTAGGCACGCCTTTAACAACACTGTTCAAGATTACCATGTAGGACACCCAGACTTTCCAGATACCTAAAATCATATCAGTAACATTGTTGCATAGTTATTAGTTGCAATAATAATATATTTTGACACTTGCACATATAGTGTCCGAAACTAGGTTGTTCCGAAAACAATTGACGGTAGGAAATATAAAAAGAGTGGTGGGAATGACAAGAAGTTAAATTCTCACTGTTGACAAACAAAATAAACAGGGCACTTCACCTGGATCAGAAAAGCAGATCCTCTTCTTTCTTCATCGCCAGAAGGAACAGAACTAGATTGGATACCCTTGTTTTTCTGACTGAGAGACTCGGTAGTCTTCTTGTGTACATTCATCTCATAGTCAAGCAGCTCTGCTGAAGCAATTTGAGCATTCTGCAAGGTACTATTATCAGAGACCCGCGATTTCTCATGCCTTACTGTATCAGTAACGAGAGAAGGGCAGATTTGTATTGCCTTATTGGCAATGGATGGATGCTTATGATAATTTTCAAATTGTTGTGTTAAATCAGGCTCTATTTTTAATCCTTTAGGCTTCTTACAACAAGGCAGAATCAGTTCTTTACTTGGTTTTTCATCCAACGTAGAATCACTGGTCAAATCAACTATCTTGCAATTGTTATATTGCATACTTCGCTTGCCGGTAATTAACATTTTTTTCTCACTGCATAGCAGATCATTTGAACATCTCAAGGTTGAGTTCTGATTTTGCTTGTAAGAAGTCAGAGATGAACGATTAGCGGGAAGAATATTTCCCAATTGCCCAGAAATGTTGCCTTGTTTAACCACATATGCAGAAGATAGCTTATCTGAGCGATTCGGATCCACTGGTGTGGTCTGCATATAGAATCCAACATTAAGATAGAGGAAACAATTTACACAATTAAAAGTTGTAGGGTATATTTATAAAATGAAGTATGAGCATGTCTTGGGTTGGGGGGATCAGATAATTACCAGAGGGGCAAGAAATTTTTCCAGGTGAAGTTTCTCCAGAGGCTGGGCACTTCTCAACCTATTCACATTTCCTGCACGGCATAAATAATCAGCTGCAGCATACACTGTCTATTTTATTGAACAGATATATATATCTGTGAAACGGAAAAGGCGTGAGCATAGACTTCGGTAGATGGGTACCAAAATGAGTCAAAAAATAGCCTATGGTATACCACACAAACACATACAGACACAGAGGGAGATATTATTAAGGTAATAAATTAAAATTGTTTCAAAATCACAAGAAAACAATTGTGAGGAAGCTATTTAGTCTCTGGATCCCCCAATAATACAAGGAAAAATCTATAATGAATTGAAAATGTAACACAATATTGGAGTCATTTTCCCTTATTAGTTCACTGTAATTCTCATTTATTGGAATGGAGCTAAGGAGATAGCCATATTTACTGATTTTTAAAAATTAACCTCAAGTCAAGATCTGTTAGGTATATAATCTTGCATGAATCTCCTAAAGAACTCTCAACTCTAAGGCAGCTGAAGGTTGGCAACACTCTATCAATGTGTACTTTTTTATATCAAGCCGTGTGATTTTGATGCCTAGAATGGTCACCAATTGCCATATTGACTAGGGACAAAAAAAAAAAAACCAGGTTTCAAAAAGATCACTTGACTCTCAATTTACAGCAACTAAAAGGCAATCAGGAAAAGAAAATACCAGTTAAAACTGAACCATCAACCTATTGACATTTATAGCGCAGAGACTAGCTCCGAAATAAATTCCATCTATCATCAAACCAGAATTATTTTATAGGGAGAAGAGGGTGCTATTGTCATAAACATACCGTAGCACCACATAATTAAAAGGAATGTACAATTAGATGTATCTTTACCAAAACTTAGATAATTAATTTTCATGGAAAAAAGTCATGTATTGATCTACAAAATTACCCATTACTGAGACAAAAGTCCCTAGGTCCTCCTTATAAACTCCCAGGTAAATGCCAATAAACAAGGCTCGAGTTAACAGAAAAACTGAATTAAGAAAATCATGTTATTGAAATTATCCTTCAGCTAAAAGATACTTAACCCTGATCTTCAGCTCCTACTAATTCCAGCTTCGTAGGACCACGAATTCCTTCATCTCGAAAAAAACGGGTCAATGTGAAAACTACATCCCCAAATTTGGAGTAACACTGCATGGACAACAATGTGTGAGTACAGGAGCTTTATAAACCAAAAAGGCAAACTTAAACCCCCAAAAATATGGACCTTGATATGAGGCCGTATCCAAAGCGATATTTGGGACTGACGGTTTGGATGCTCAAACCTGTCCATGACACAGAAGGTGAATCAAAAAACTAGATATATAAAGCATAACACCGTTGAATATATCATCAATAATTATGCAGGTCGGAGGAGCGGAAGATATTATAAAGTACACTGCAATGACGGCAACAAGTGCACGACTAATGTTTCTTATGTGTTTATGTTCAACAAGAGAAGTGATAAGATACAGAATAACTAGCAAGAAATGGAATTGTCATCAGACAAAAGTAATTCATTTAAATGGTTGAACATCTTAACAAAGAAATTGTTTTCTTTTTTCTTCCTCGTATTAAAAATAAATATAAAAAATGGATTAAATTTTAAGAGGCCTCACAACTTCAAGATCTGGTGCTTTCATTGGAAACCGTTGAAGCTACACATGTGGCATAGATTCTCTGCATTTGTAATTATTTGGAAAAAAAATATATATATATCCAACTTTATTTAATTTAAGTTGAGCGAAATCAGTTCACGAGAATTCACAAACTATGGAAGCCTGTAAACAGAACATGAATTTTGACTCCAACAATCTTTGAAAGTTACACCTTGGCTGAACTTCAAGAACACCACTGATAGAATTATTCACATGAAGTTAACGGAAGATTAGACCAAAATGTGAATTTTGACTGCTCCAAGATTCCAAAATTGTACCTCAGTTTAACTTCAAAAATGCCAGTATTAGAACTATTCATTGAAGTTTAGGCAAGTTCATGATATCCAAGTTGCTGGGTAACGGCTGACAAAAAGGTAAAAGGTGATAAAGTTAATTGCTCAAATGAGCAATGTTAAACATATGCTAAGAAGGATTGATTATTTATCATTGCTTCCAATCTAACTAGTTATGATAGAGATCGACAAGAAAAAACAAAAAGGAGCAACAAAAAAAAAAAAAAAAGAAAAAAAAAAAAAGAAAAGAAAAAAAAGATTATGTTCTACATAGAAGTCAGCAGACACACAATAAATAGCTATTTCTAAATGTAATAAACTTTTCTTTACTATGGCCATCATAACATGCCAACATTTTGGTGAGACTCCCAGCAATATACTAATCGTAAACAAAAATACCTTTCATCGCAGAATATAATTGCTCCATAATCATGGAGATGACGAATGACACGACCAACAGCTTGATTCACAGCCCGTGATGCTTGTTGACTATACCACTCTTCTCCAGTCAGAACCTGCATCTCTAACGTCTAGTTTAAATTAGTAGAAAACTCGTAAACTATGAGGAAATAGATCAAGGAACACTGAAGTTCAGTCTCTCCTCTTATTTATCAAAAAAAAAAAAAGGTACAGTCTCTCCTCTGGTGGCATGAACACTACCTTGCATCCCATCTGTTGTGACTGTATGTGTTGATCCATGTATTCACGTTTCAGACGAACCTGTCATACATCATTCATAACATATAAAATTAATTAAGGAACAGAAATATAAAAATTTTAATTAAAATCAGGAATTTCAAGGCAAAATATGTCAGGACAAGAAGGATCTAAATAGCCATATCTGCGTCTGTGTTCTTCCCAGAGTAACAAAGTTGGTAGTCGCATTTTTCACCTAAATGAAATCTAATAGCTATCATGATAACATATATAGTTCTAATTAAATAGTACTAGTCATTTCACAGTGAGGGAGTAAAATTAATATATTTATACACTGTTGAACTCATTGTTCTAAATGACTGAACTCATTATCATATTGGGTGCAAGAAACACGGTATTATAGAATTCAGTCACAACAATAATTAAATGACTTCCTTGATTCTCAAAAAAAACTGCATGAATGTATTATCAGTGTACAATTAAGTATTGAAAGGTTAACAACTCAAATTAAGTCCTCGTTGAGAAAATCTTGCTCTAGCACAAAAGGCATTTTCCAAACATCAAAGAATTCAGTATTATGTTCGACAATTATATATTATAACCTCAGACAGAGCAAGTAAAAAAAGACAGGAACCTTGTTTTTTACATGATAAGTTGATGCGTATTAGTAGAGTGTCATTACTGCAACCTAAGTACACAGGACATGTATCAAGCTATATAATAATTATATTCACATATAACCCATAAATTTATCAAAAGAATATATCAAAACTGAAAATTGTCCTGTAATCCAAAGAGCTTAACCTCTGATGCTTCACTCTCCATATGGGCAACTTTGCTCCATCAAAGGAATACTTATTCCCCTCCCACCAATAGTCCTCCAAAAACAGAGGAGCTACCTGCCAAACTGCTCCGACTCTCCTAGTCACTACACTCTCTCCAACTATCCGATCATTGACTATGCTACGAATAACTCAATGCTCTCCAATGAGATGGATAAGGTCCCATAGATCTGAAGCAATTTATAGTAAATCAGAAAGTGGCTCACCTACTCACCATCCTTTTGCACATGAAGCACCAACCAAGATTTGACAGCTTTTGAACCGTCAATAATATTGATCTTTCCTAATGCAGCTGTCCATTACAAACAAGCAATCCTGGGAGTAGTATTTCTGCCCCAAACAAGCAATCATGGATGATTCATCCACTCAATGCCCTTTCAATTAGACCAGACCTAACACCTACCAGCTTTAAAGGCCTCCCACCTCATGGTACTCTCTTATCCCTACTCAATATGCTGGGGGTATAGTAATCCAAAGAACAATAATATCCTCCATCTCCCAGACCTACAGCACCCTGATAAAGCTGATATCCTCCTCGACCATCCAACCCTCTGAACAAATTATAGCCTTCTTATAGGCTGTTGGTTTGGAAATGCTCAACAAGGTTTATTTCAAGGGACCCTCATCAAAAGAGTATTCACACCAGAAATTGACATAACATTCCCCATCACAATCCCAATGCTTTAGAGTGTTTCCATCCTTCCAAAATGCAGCCACAATTCCACCCCATGGAGATCCCAGGTCAACTCGATAGAAATTGAAGCCAAAGCAAGAACTTTAAAGGAAGTTTTTTTATTTATTTAATATTTCAATAAAAATAGAAATTGAGGCCCAAGGCAAGAACTTTAAAGGAAGTTTTTTTTTTATTTAATATTTCAATAAAAATAATATTAAAGTCTATACTATAGAAAATTTTACTCAAAAACCAATAAAAAGGCCTAGAAAAAGAAGAAAAGATAATAGCAAGTGAAAATATTTTAAAATAATAAGAAAAGTGTGGAAAAGTAGTAGTGGTTAAAGTAGAAGCCAATTAGATTTTTATGTAGTTCAATACAACCTAAGAATTGGAGTGTGTGTGCTTAATTTTTATGGCCCACGTTAAAGAATTGGAGGGAGTGTCTTTTATTTAAAAAAGGAAATCTACAATGGAAGTTGTGAGAGATACTACTTAATCTTATTTGTGTGGAGCCGTTCCAATGAACCTCATCTATATGGGGCCTTAGGCGACCATCTTAATTGCCTAGTAATTGAGCCAGCCCCGGGAGATCCAAGCCTCTTTCTAGTGCCAATTCCACTTGTCATTACCGTACTTCCTCTCCTACAGTGTATTTCCACTCCTCTGCATGTCCCCAAAACCACTTTCCCAACTAGGACTGGTTAAACAAGCTCAGGTTCAGAAACACAGTTCGTAAATTATCAAACATTAAACTAAAGATAGTGACAAATACTAACTTCAGGTATAGCTACTCAGAAAGATATACTCCCTCAGTCCCAAAAAGAATGTCCGTTTTGGGGAGTAGATATTTTTAAGGGGACATGCAGGCCATGTATTGTCCCCCTGCAAAGTTACTAACTTGCCCTTTAAGTTTTGAAAATTCAAGTTTGAAATTTTAAACTCCAAGGACATATATGGAAAGATGTAAAATATATTGTTTGAAAAAGGAAAGTGGACATTTATTTTGGGACAGCCCAAAAAGGAACGATGGACATTTTTTTTGGGACAGAAGGTGTAGTTTCCCACTGTAACATGTCACAGATACAGAAAATAAAATGCTTTATACAATGAAGTAACTGCCAAAGTAAGTTCACATAATAAAGCTAAAAATAATTTAAGGACTTCCATATATTGCAAATTCACACAGACTGACAAAATCTCAAGGAAAAATAGGCAACAAGACAATCAAACCTTTGGATCAGTCCTTGTTGCAAACGGCAAACCGGTGATCACCACAGCTCTTCCAGCATGGTCAGGAAAATCTAATCCTTCACTTACCTAATATACCAATAGAGATTAGCCATTGTCAACAAATGGAACTTTTGAAAGGTCAATATAATGCTTCCCAGCAATTTTGGGAGCTGTGAAGCATCAAAACAGGATTCATAAAATAGATAGCACAAAATAAAAGAAAAAATTAGTCAACTATGATCTTCAGCAATCAGCTACCTATTTTTCTTTATAATGAACATCAGTATTTATTTTGGCTATACTTACCAAAAAATATATATATATGTTATTTTGGCTCCATCAATATATCAGTGACATCTTATATACTCACAGGAGGTTTTTTCTTTAACTAATGAATAAAGCAGCATCAACCGGATGGATTCTGGCGTAATTGGATTCCAGGAATTGAAGAAGAAATACCAAAGACCGAAACAGTTGAACTACTAGCCACAACCAATGTAAATGGCATACTAAGTGCATTACCCAACATATATCCCGCCTACGCAGGGTGCTGGGAGGGGAAGACTATCTAAATGACATGTTACCAATAATATGAGAGTTTGGGGGTTCTTGTACTCTAGGCAGATCCATCAATCTCGGGATGGAGCACTGGAGGCAAAATCATAAAGAATTAAGATTTAAGTAAGGATTAGGAACTAATTGTTGTCAGGGGCTTATTTGTTATTACTTCTATAATGTTGGGGCTTATGTGTAATTTCTAAAACTTGTTATTATAAATAGAATGTGGTGGAAGGATGAAAGTATTCTTTCTCTCTTTCCCCATCTCTCTCTCTTTTTCTCTCATACGCTTTCTTCTCTTTTTTTCTTCTTTATCACTGTGACAACCGTAGATTTTACAAACCCAGTGTGTCCTATGATGACCCAAAACGGATCCAAAATGCGGAAGCTAAACATAAACAAGTCTCTGGAGATGTAACACAAGAGTGACTTCCCGAGGAGTCCCGAGACTCAACGGAAACAAAAAGGAGACAAGGGTATCAAAATCCTACAAGAGAAGGACCAACGGTAAAATGGTCATTTTTCCCTAAGTGGAGCGAATTTAACTTACAACAAGTTAAATGAGATCAAAAATGTCCAAAAACCTCCTTTGATAACCTCACACGAGGTCCCAAGGTCAAAGGAAGAGAAATCCCAAATGAACCCTATCCCGGTTCAAACCAAATCTAACACCTTCTCACTTAAACAAGGATATCTAGAGTTAGGAGAAGAATCTGAAACTGAAATTGGTACCATTGGAAAGCTTTCTTCGACGCGGTCCGTTTAGACTTAAGAACGGACTAATTTGAAGTTAAAACGAAAAAGTTATGACAATTTGAAGTTGGAAGACAAAAGCTGAACTTAAAAGAAAAGTTTCTGGGGGACATGAACCGGTTCAAGATTTCCTGAACCGGTTCAACATTGGCAGAGAACCCACGTTGAACCAAAATGACCCTTGAACCGGTTCAGCATTTTCTGAACCGGTTCCACCAACCCAGGTAGCAGAAAAAGCAGCAAAAAATAGAAAAATGAACCCGACGAGGGGTTCTCGAGACTAAGACGACATTTTTCGGAAAAATACCGTGAAGAAACCCCCCTTAAAATCACGTTTTCCAAGCAACCATGTCAAGGCCGGAAATTATTTCCCAAAGGAAACCCCCAAAAAGCCCCTAAACTAGATTTTTCAACAAAAATGCAAAATGAGTCCAAGGGAGCCTCATTTTACCAAGGAAGAGGTTTTGCCCGGAAACAATCATGCACGCAAACGTAACTTACAAACTAGATTTTTCAACAAAAATGCAAAATAAGTCCAAGGGAGCCTCATTTTACCAAGGAAGAGGTTTTGCCCAGAAACGATCATGCACGCAAACGTAACTTACCTATTAGGACAAGCTACAATGATCCACAGCTTAAAAATACCGCCGATGCAAAATTTGACCTATCCAAACCCTATTGCGTGAAAAATGCCTTTTAAAGGCAAAAAATGCAACAACCAGCCTTAAATGCTTTCAAAAGACCGTTTGGCCCTTGGCCACACTTCATGCATATTAAATGAGTCCTAGTGGGTGTGCTCGTGCACACTTTGTACCACCTGATTTGGAAATGAACCCGGCTCGAATTTTCCAATTTTAGCCCAAAAATGCAATATATGAAACTAGAATGCAAAACCCAAAACAAAATGGTGTTTGGCCCTTGGCCACACCTCATGCACATTAAATGAATGCCAAATAATGAATTTCATACCCAATGCACACTTCGGTGCAAAAATGACATGTTAAAACCATTGATTTCATATAATTTTCATTGAAGGCAAATTACTACATTTAAGAGTATACATGGTTTTCAAAGGAAGTTTGGCCCTTGGCCACATTTCATATACATAAAATGAATGTCAAAAAGTATGCTTAATGTCACGCCCCGCCTATGGAGGTTGTGCCACGCAGGCGACACACAGACGCTGAGGAGGACGCTGCATGGCAGCTGCATGGCAAGTGGAGTTTCTAGAGTCTTCCGGAGTAGTCTAGAGTTGTGTGGAAGATTCTAGATATGTGTAGTATATTCTAGAAGTGTGTGGAAGTAACTAGAATTCTCTAGAATTGTGTGGAGTAGTATGGAGGGTTCTAGAATGTTGTAGATATGTATGGAGATGTGTAGAAGGTGGAAGAAGATTCTAGAGAATCAATCTCCATCATTGGTTAGAATGCATCCTAGCCATCCATTAGGGATGGGGATGCCTATAAATAGGAGTAGGACTTCATTTTGTAACCAACAAGTCCTAGAGTGAGTCTTGAGAGCCTTGTAGAGAGCTTGAGGGTTAGCCTTGTACAAAGCATTCTTTGAAGTAATAGAAGTGTTCTTTCCTTGCCAACTTAAGTGCCTTAGTGTGTGTGAGTGTGCAAGCCAAGTGAGGAGAGGGCGAGGGCAACTACAACACTAGTAAGCGCACGAGGGGAGTGTGTTGGCTAAGGTGTGCACGGGAGTTAGGCTGACCAAGTACTTGCGAGAGTGGAAGCAACGTCTTGGTGCCGCACGGGAGCAGCTAGAGTGGTGCTGAAACTTTAAGCCCGTGACATTAAGCACGCATTACAAGTTTCAAGGCAAAATGACATATTTGACCTAACTATACATTACAACTTTAAAAGTAAAACTCAAACATGCCAACACTTGCATGTGAACATGAATACACTTAAGAGAACTTCAATCCAACGAAACGATCTAAGGACATTGTGCATCCCAAAATAAAGTATCCGTACTTGAAAAATAACCCGATAACTTTGGGGTGAGTAAGCAAGTTACTCGTAGGGAATGAGCATGCATAGACCTAACTTTTTACAAGGTTATCACATTAACATGAAATAATTTTAAAAGGTCATGCCACCTAACGTCTATGTCAAAAGTGATACCAAGGGATCATCTTAAGCTACACTAGCAATTGAAATGAACTACGGCATACAAGTATGCATGCTTAAGTATACAAAACAATGTTGAAACATGATATACGACATATAAGCATACATTTACAAGTATACTAAACCATATTAAACAAGTTATGCAATGTCTAAGCATACATACACAAATATATAATTAATATGGAAAACTCGCGAATCAAGTATACAGGCACAAGTATACTGAGCTAAATGAATTACGCATAAACAAGTACACACGGCACAAGTATACTAAAATGAAATCCAATTACACCAAACAAGCATACAAGGCGTAAGTATACTAGATAGAGTTTTAGATACACAAACAAGGATACAAGTTCAAGTATGCTAAATGGGATCTAAATACACGAAACAAGTATATAGTTTCAAGTATACTAAATGAGATCTAAATATGCAAAGCAAGTATACAGAATCAAGTATACTAAATGAGATCTAAAATGCAAGGTAAGCACCAATTCACAAGCTACAAGTAATTCATGATTAACTACTTGGAATGCGATGCAAAATCGGATAGTGGAAAGACTAGGATACTTGGTTACTGACCAAGCAAGTCATTCTGGGCAATTACGACCCACTAGGAACTACCTAGTGCGCGCGTGTATAAGTTATTCTGGGCAATTACGACCCACAAGGTACTACCTAGTGCGCATTTCATATGACTAAGGAAACTCTTGTCGCCGTACTAGAGCCAAACTCTAGCCATCACGTGTACATTTTCCTTACAAGCCTTCCAAAATTAAAAAGTTCAAAACTTATGCATAATTAATAAATTAGACAAACTTATACAAAATCAAATAATGCTTAAAAACCATCTTCTATGCACAAGGTTGAATCCACACAAACCATGTCCTAGAATTCAAGTCTAAACGGCATATAATATGTCAAATCCTTGATATGTAATTTATACACAAAACAAGAATATTTTACAACAATTGAACCAAATTACCATCCTAAGCCACAAGTACTAAATAAGCTATAATTTAGTAACTAGCTTCCAAGGTAATCAATTGTAATATTCTAAACAAGCTATATACCTACGCAAGATATATTTAAACAAGCTTGGCAAGACAATGATATCATATATCATGCTAAGTCCATTACCATTTTAAGAGGCCACAAATACTAATTCTATGCAAGCCTAGTAAAATGTTCACAAGGTAATTAAACGTACTACATTTCATAAGATTATCATCATAACATGAAAAGTCTCTAGATTTCAAATCAATTCCGAATAACTTCAATTTAATGTATGTTAAAGGACATAGCATGCTCTTCACATATATCACATCAAATATCAACTTAGGTGGTTAAAACACTAAATAATTTAATTTCCTCTAGATTTTTAAACAACTCCAAATGTTCTCAAATTAACATAGGTTAAAGAACATACCAAGGCCCAACTTAATATCACATTACAAGTTGATTTCATGCTAGTTACAACCATGTGAATTAAACTTTCATAAAAGAAAATTATTAAATAAAAGTTGCAATACTTATTCAAATACTCCCAATTTATTATATGTTAACAAACATATCAAGGCCTAATTTAATAGTATGCCACAATTTAATTCCAAGTTATAAACAACCATGAGAATTAAATCTTATAGAAAGAAAATAATTAAATTAAATTCTAGATAAAATACATAGGCATGCATACAAGTTGTATAAGCTTATAAAATAATTAATACAACATTTATATGAACCTAAGACATCCCCTACCTCAATTCGAGATGAAATCTCAAATCCCCTCCGAAATGAAACCGCCCCGAATCCTATGAAACTTCGGGGTTTTGTCGGAGACAACATGGTGAACATTATACCCCAAGGAGGTCACACCAAAATCCAAACTTGGCTACAAACCCGAACTCGAAAAATGGCCAAAACGGGATTCCAATCGGTTGGAATCGAAGGCCTCGTCAAGGCGGACATTAAACATTAAGGCATCACAACATTTTACTAAAGGGAAGGAGTCCAAAGGAGGAGAGAGAAGGTGGCAACCCCTTGGGCTGCCATGGATGGCCGGCCAAGAGGAAGAGAGAAGAGGAAATTCCCTTTTTCATTTTAAGTCCCCCTATTTATAGAAAAACCCTAAAAGTGCCCCGAACGGGCCCCACCGAGTCCGGAAAAGTGGAATTTGAGCAAACGCGCTCAAACGGCAAAACTCCGTGAACGAAAAAGAACTGAAATAAAAAAAAATGAATAACGGAAGAAACGGCGTCGAAAATCAAGTCCCGAACAGAGAAATATGTCCCGAAAAAGTTCGGCGGCAACAAGAGTCAAAAACCCAAAAACTAGGGAGATCGACCGCAAGGCAATTATAAGAGTACACGACTCGACAAAATGTGAAAATGAATCCCGTACGAGGATCTAAGCCCCAAGGAGACACTTTGCAACTAACTTTCATTAATTGCACAAAGGCCCCTACACAAAAGGATTACTGTGCAAGTGACCCCAAATGAAAATATCTTCCAAAAGATATTTTCTTAAAAACCCCCAAATCAAAATATCTTGAAAAGATGTTTATGAAAAACACTCCAAGAAACGAAAATGTTTCTGAAGAATCTTTTCATCCATGCCCCTGCGGGAAAACGAAACAGCCGCCGAGCTTTTCTCCAAAAGTAAAGCTACGCCTTTTGAGGAAACCAACTGGGATGGAAGCATGTGGAGTCAAAAACCAACTCTGAGCACGAAGAGTGTGGTTACGCGAAAGGAAATTTCAACGAAAAAAATTAATCCGTAAAAATGGAGAAAAAGGAAAGTCAACACTAATTACTAAGTTCATCTGTAATCATAAGTCCATAAACAGCTTGCATCTCAAGGTCAGACAGGTGTGAAAAAAAGGAGCACATTTTAAGTAAGGATTAGGAACTAATTACTAAGTTCATTTGTAATCATAAGTCCATAAACAGCTTGCATCTCAAGGTGAGACGGGTGTGAAAAATAGGAGCACAATTGTGATCAGAAGCTATAAAGTCATTTACATCACTATGGAGCTTTCACATTGCAGAACACAGACGAGGGCTCCAGAGTCTTCATCAAAAGGAATGTGCTTGTTCAAAAAGGAAACCAACAAATAAACATATTTCAAAAAAAGCATTGTAACATCGCCATGATAGGAAACTGCTCACAAATCTTTGAGGGAGGTAGACAACAATTTAAGGCTAACAATGGGATCCTATATAAATTTCCATGCCAAACTATGAACATTGTAATATATTATATTAATAAAAATTGAAACTGCTATATGTAATGTAGAATGGTGAAGAATCCTTCAAACAAAAGAGGTGAAAACCAACCCCAAAAAAAGAAGGAAAAAAGAAACGATCTCCTACAAACCCAAGCCCAGTCCTTTGTCCAAGGGAATAGAAGTCCACTCTAATATAAACAAAGTAGCTCCTCCTATATGCAACTAAAACTATAATCTGAAGACTTACAGATTTCACCCGGACACCCCCCCACCCCCAACACACACACATATATTATTCTGATAATTCATTGCCTCTTCCCTAGCCTGAAAGTTTTGCTATTAATGGACCCTTTATAACAAGAAATAAAGCCTTTTCCCAACTACTTGGGGTTGGCTAAATGAATCCTATTTTTCAATTCTGTTCTGTCCAAGGCCATAACCTCAATCAAACCACATGTTATCATATCTTTTCTTATTAATAATTATTTGTGGCTCTACCCATTTGACAATGTTTCCTTTCTTTTCCCTCATGGACTGCTATTGCAATTGTATTCACTTCTTCATTTCTTCCATCTCATTTCAATCCTGCATATCATCATAGTAGTTTGACTTCAACCCTATTTCAATTTAAAACTAAACTTCTAACACACAGTAAATGAAAATTTGACTCTCTTAACATTAAAAAATCAACATACGAACAGATATATAAAATGAAGCTAAAAGAAATGTATATAAAATACTTTGGTGAGTGAATCATGAGCAAATTGCATCAGAAATTCAAATGAAAATAGATCTAGGGACATCAGTCCCATTCCCCCTCCCCTAAAAAAAAACATGAAAAAAGAAATAAAAGGAAAAGAAAATTTGTGCCTTAATAGAGACTGTATTTCACATGTTGTAATGCTAGATGTCAAAAGTGAGAATTATTAGCGCCAGTCCCATTTTACGTGGTACATCATCCTTTTATAACTATCAAAATATTTAATTTTTTTAATCAAAGGAATTTATCATACTCAAGAAACAGTGTGAATAGCTACCTTAAAATTGGTGTATCTAACAAGTTTTGGTTTCTTCTTTCATAGCTAACATTTAATTATATGCGTATGGTATCTAACTTAGATTTAAAAGTTTAATATTTTCCTATCACAACAATGCTTGAAGCAGTTCAATAGTAATTTAGGATAACAGATATTTTCAAAATAATGTCCAATTCTGAAACAATACAACTAGGAAAAGCATCAAGAATTAAATTTCAGTTGGGAGACAAAATTTACTGGACTACAAGTGCCAGTAACTGCTAACACCCTAGTGTTTGAATTGCCTAAGGATTAAAAAGTACATTGGTTTCGATTTGAATTAATATTATGTTAAGCTTAACTTATTGTTCAAACCAAAAATATCAATACAAGAAAAACCTAGCAAACTAGAGATACAATGCAGATAAATCCAATAGTTTAATCCATGCAGTTGGCACAAGCCAACTACCGTATTAAAGACACTCTCACTCTTTCATGCATGATGCATCTACACGTACCACCATAACAGGAACCATTTGGCAAAATGACATAACAGCATCAACAGTGACAATGATGCTGGGTGAGTTCATTGGCATATATTGTTTTATGTGTATAATTTTAAATTCCAAAGGCCTCTTACAGTTCTAAGATTGCTACCAAAGTAACTGACCACAATTTAGTGACACGATCAAACTGACAGAACTTTGTTCGACATGATGAGAAAGTGTTGCTTAAATTTCAAGATAAAACCATACCTTGCCACGACAAACTGCAAAAAATACAGCACCAGAAGTGGAGGTGTCCTTCAACTTAGTCATGTAGTCCTGCACCAAAATCAATCAGCCGGAAATCTGAGATCAGGACAGTACAGGGAAATAATATGGAAGAACGTTGATTACTTGATTGGATTGTTACTTGAGTTTCTTACCTCAATTGACAAAGGAAAAAGTGAAGACTGTCTAGGTTCCACAACAGGTTGCTTATGTTTGCAGATTCTCTCCCAGATTGTACTAGAGTTCGTCGAGTTTGCATGACTCTAATAGTTGTCGAGCATAATTTGTCAAGAACTAAATGCAAACAGATCCAGATTCTTGATTACTTGTGTTAGATAACTTAGATGCCTTACCATATTCTTCCAGCATCCAATGCACTGGTCTAGAAGGTAGTAAGATGGGAAAAATACGAGCAGCCCATCTGGTATGATTCGAGCAAAATTGACTAAAGCAAGAGATTCAATAAACAAAAAGATTTCATTAAAACAGCTAATTACAACAATGAAGGTAAGCAAAAAGATTTTATTGAAACAGTTATCTATGACAATGAACTTACTGACCATAGACAACATCTAACCTATATGCTATAAAGGGAAAAAATCATATTAGGTTATTTACTTCAAAGTAATTTTCAGTGCAATGCTTTGTTCAGTATAACAATTGAAACCATTACCTTAACCTTTTTAAATTTATGATCACAGTATGAGTATTAGATTAGTGTGTGCGCATGCACGCGCATTTGTGTGTAAGAGAGAGAGAGAGAGAGAGTTTGGAGGAGGGAAAGACTAAAGGCAGAGAATGAAATCTGGAAGGAAAAATAAATCAACAATTGAAATTTGTTGAAGGATTTAAATATTAAAGTTGGACCCTCTCTAACAGCATAAGCTTTTAGAGTAGATGGTAGTTTACATGGTATCAGACCAGCCAAGGTCCTATGTTCAAACCTTAACGTCACCCTAATAATTAAACTTGAAACACGTGTTGGACGAAAATAAGGCCACACGAGGGGGCGTGTTGAAGGATTTAAATATTAAAGTTACACCCTCTCTAACAACTTAAGCTTTTAGAGTAGGTGAGAAAAGATAGTTTATACAAGAAGGTTAGTAAAGAGATGCTTCAAATGAATCAATGAACGAAACGACGGTGAGAAGGAAAAGTGACTAGCACAATATGAAAAAGAGAGAATAGAATTAATAATAATAAGATAAAGTTGAAATAATTATTATTATTATAATAATGAGAGTTGTACTAAACTAGTAATGACAATGATTATCATAGCAATAATACTAATAAGGGATTCACTACCCAATAGGTTCTTGGATGGTCTCTTATCTAGTTGGTGCCGAACATATAGAGCCAATGACCCAACATAGTCCCCAACACGGATCCCATCGTTGGGGTAGTATGACAGATGTCACAGTGGACTCGAATGTTTGGTAGAGCCCTTGACATAGGCCTGAACGGCCAGGAAAAACCCAACAAGGGGTGCCATCAAATAGATCAAAGCTTGAACTCAAATACAGAAGAGATACTAGGACTTGAGATCCAAGAATGATTCTATGATCTGATGTCTAACAAAACATGAAAAATGTAAATGAATCTCAAAGACATCTATACTAGGGTACATCAATCCTGATTCTAAACCTTGACTAATCATAAAGTCTTTTTAGTCATAGCCAGTTACACAACTTAAAAAATAAAATCAAATGCCACTACTACGAAAATTAAGGGCCTAAATAACAGTATATAAAAATAAATAAATCACAGCCAATTCATGGGAGTACATCCTAAGGTTAGGTCTGCAAATAGTCCACTCTCCCAATATTAGCTAATAGCCTCTTTCCACTCTATCCTAACTAATTCTCCAACCCAAGTTAATGTTAGCATATATGATACCACGATTTATGGTATGACTTACCATAATAGCAGAGATTTGACTATGCATATGTTAGCATATATGATAGCCACTATTTATGGAATAACTTACCATAATAGCTGAGATTTGACTATGCTATAGAATATGCCATAAAATATGCTTTAGAATAAGTTGTGATTTGATTTAGTTTTCTTTCTTGTAATATGAGCATGTGCTCATTTTATCTATAAATACTAGAACTGTGAATGAATAATTCATATCATTCAAGCCTTTATGCAATTCTCTCCTTTCTCTTCTTTTTATTTCTACTTGGTATCAGAGCAAATACCTTTCCACACCTTTCAGCAGCCTTGCTACTTGTGCGACAGCAAAATTAGGCTGTTTGTGACATCGTGTGACGTTGCCTACACATATTTTTTTGTGTTGCTGTTTTGTGACCAAAAACAGGTATTTTTAAGTTTTACAATTTCTTTTTTACTCTTCTAGGATTGGGTAAATTGGGATAGTTGGTTTCCAACGCCTAGAAGGGCTTGGGTTAAAAAAATAAAAATAAAATAGTCTACAAAGAGGTTCCTTAAAAAAGGTATGTATTTGGATTTTTCGGGAATGGTCTGAGGAGACATTGTTATTGTTTATGATATGAGGAGACCCTTTGATTTATTAACAGAATTTGTGGTGTTTTTTGGAATTTTTTATTGTCGTGTGACAGATCATGGCAGATTCAGGGTCCTCAACTGTTAATTCTCTTGGCTCAAGTTCTATGGGTGGTGGTGCCATTTTTCCCACCAACTCATCAGAAAATCCAGGACTTCAAATCACCACAATGAAGTTGGATGGTTCCAACTATTTGATTTGGGCACAGTCTGCCAAGATGTTCATTGGTGGCAAAGGCAAGATTAGCTATATTACTGGTTCTGAGAAAGAGCCAGCTGAGTCAGAGAAGGCGTATCCACAGTGGTTTGCAGATAACGCTATGGTTATGTCTTGGCTAGTCAATTCGATGCAACCAAATATAGATGTTGGCTATATGTTTATGAAGACTGCTAAGCAGATTTGGGAATCAGTTCAACACACTTATTCTTAGAGACAAAATAATGCACGAATTTTCCAGCTAGGGCGAGATATCACCAGGATTTCTCAGGGTGACTTGGCAGTTTCAGGTTACATTGCCAAGCTTCGTGCTATTTGGGAGGAGATGTCATATTATGATTCCTTCCACTCTTGGAAGGATCCAGATAATGCAGTTTTATATGCAGGAATTGTGGAGAAGAATCGAGTGTTTCAGTTTCTTGCCGGGTTGAACAACGAGTTTGAGTATGCTCGTGTTCATTTATTGGGCTTATCTTCATTCCCTACTCTTGAGGATGCATACTCCTATGTATTGTCAGATAAGAGCCACCAGACTCATCCATTGGGTGTTACTTCTATTGATCGTTTTGTTATAGCAGTTCGGGTTCCCAACCTTTTAGGAACTTCACCATCCAAGTCAGTTCAAAGCACTAACACCGGTCCTCCTCTGGGACGACAACGCGGATGGTGTGACCATTATAGAAAAATTGGTCACATCAAATCTCGTTGTTATGCTCTACAGGATGCCCACCGCAATAGAAACAACAACCTCGATCCTCTGCACATTATGTTACACAACCAGTCTCGTTGTCAACTCCTGACAACCCTGCCTCTACATCTTCTGCCACAGTTACCTTAACTCAAGCTGATTTGGACAAGTTCAAGCAATTCTTCAACCAAATGGAGGCATCATCTCAGCCAACCTCCACTTATGCCCACTCAGGTACAATTGCGTCTGCACATAGCATATCTACATCTTCGAAACCATGGATCACTGATTTTGGTGCTTCAGACAATATGACTGGTATGCCCTCACTCTTCCAATCTTATAGTATCTGCTCTAGCCAACGCAAGGTCCGCCTTGCGGATGGCTCTCCATCTTCCATTGTTGGGAAGGTCACATATCAGTTACTCCTTCATTAACTTTGTCAGATACACTTCATGTTCCAAAGTTGACTACAAATCTTATTTCTGTTAGTAGCGTTACCAAACAATTAAATTGTAGTGTAACGTTTTTTCCCTCTCATTGTATTTTTCAGGATCTGGTGTTGAAACGGACGATTGGCAGTGGGCGTGAAGTGGACGGTTTATACCTGTTGGATGCTCCTTTGTCACCTCAAGCACATTTAGCTTCATTTTCTAATATTGTTTCATCTAATAAAGCCCAGCTTATGCGTTGGCACATGCGTTTAGGACATATTTCTTTCGGTTATTTAAAACATTTATTTCCTTCCCTATTTTGTAACATGGAAGTGTCAGATTTATCCTATGAGACATGTCATATGGCTAAACATGTTTCGTTCCAATTATCCTGCTAGTAGTAATAAATCTGCTTTAACACCTTTTGATCTTGTTCATTCAGATGTGTGGGGTTCTTGCCCAGTTACTTCTAGTCTTGGATTTCGATATTTCGTGTTGTTCATTGATGATCATAGTCGTGTTACTTGGGTTTATCTTATGAAAATCAAAAATGAGGTATACACCTTTTTAAAAAATTTATGACAATGGTTCAGACTTAATATGGTCATACCATTAAAAAATTCAGATCTGACCAGGGTACAGAGTACACTTATGGGGAGGTACAACGGTTATGTACAGAAGTTGGGATTGAGCATCAGATGGCTAATGTTAAAACTCCTCAACAGAATGGTCGTTCTGAGAGAAAGAATCGCCACATCCTTGACTTAGCCAGAGCAATCTGCATTGGCATGAATGTTCCCCGGTCATTTTGGGGAGATGCAGTTCTTACTGCTGTTTACATCATTAATAGGACTCCTAGGATTCTTAACTTTGCAGCCCCACTCTCAATCTTACATCCCAATTCATCTCTTTTTTGTATTCCTTTACGAGTCTTCGGGTGTGTGTGCTTTGTTCAGCAGTTGGGGCAGACTCGTACAAAGCTTGACCCGAAGGCTTTGAAGTGTGTGTTTTTAGGCTATTCTCACCCTCAAAAAGTTTATAGGTGTTACCATCCTCCCAGTCGTCGACGGTTTATATCCATGGATGTTTCTTTCTTTAAGCATACACCATACTATAGTGGTTCAGTTGGTTCTCAGAGTGAATGGTTCCCATTGAATATAATGGATGATCACCTTCTTCCGTCTTCAACTCCTCTACCATTACTTGTTTCGTCTTCTATGATTCCTCCTCATGATACCCCTCCAGCAGGGGGAATTGTTCCTTTTTCATAGGTTTATAATTGGAGACAACAGGTACAAGCTTCTACTCCCACGATCGACTGCCCTGTTCCTTCGGCACCAACTCTGCCTTCTCAAGCTATTGTTTTGCTTGATGATCGCCCCATTGCTCTTTAAAAGGGTAAACGTTCTTGTACATACCCTGTTTCTAATTTTGTTTCTGATTATGCTCTCTCACCCTCCTATCAGAGTTTTCGTGTTTCTGTTGCCTCGGTTCCTGTTCCTTCTAGTGTTGCAGATGCACTAGCACAACCTCAATGCCGTGATGCTATGATAGAAGAACTACAAGCACTTGAGAAAAATCAGACTTAGGACATGGTTCTACTTCCTATTGGACGAAAGGCTGTGGGTTGTCGTTGGGTGTTTACAATTAAGCATAATCCAGATGGGTCAGTTGCTCGTTACAAGGCCCGATTGGTTGCCTAGGGTTATGCACAAACTTATGGCATAGATTATTAGGAGACTTTTGCCCCTGTTGCCAAGACGAATACCATCCGTGTATTATTTTCCGTTGCTGCAATTCGATCTTGGCCTCTATTTCAGTTAGATGTCAAGAATGCCTTTCTCAATGGTGAGTTGCAGGAGGAGGTGTACATGGTTCCTCCTCCGGGCTTTCGTTCTCCTGCTCATACTGGTATGGTATGTCGTCTTCGTCATTCTCTGTATGGCCTCAAGCAGTCTCCTCGAGCTTCGTTTGATCACTTTCGCACTGATATGCTCAAGTTTGGTTTCCATCAAAGTGCAGCTAATCATACCTTGTTTTTACGTCATTCAGGCAGTAAGACAGTTGCTCTCATTGTGTATGTCGATGATATTGTTTTTACCGGCGATGATGCTACCGGAATTGATGAGGTTAAGAGCTATCTTGGCCGTCAGTTTGAGATTAAGGATCTTGGTCCCCTTCGGTACTTCTTGGGCATTGAGGTGGCTCGCTCCAAGACTGGCATGTTCATCTCTCAACGCAAGTATGTTCTTGACTTGCTTTCTGCTTCTGGTCAGCTTGGCGCTCGTCCTGCTAATACTCAGATTGAGTAGAATCATCGGTTGGCTGATTCTGAGGGGGAGTTGTTGTCAGATGTTGGTCAGTATCAACGACTTGTGGGGAAGCTCATCTATTTATCCATAACTCGACCTGACATTGCTTATGCCGTGAGTGTCGTGAATCAATTCATGCACTCTCCTCGTGCCCCTCACCTTGATGCAGCTATTCGGATCCTTCGCTACTTAAAAGGGTGTCCAGACCGTGGTATTTTGTTTGCCAATCATGGCCACTTATGTGTTGAGGCCTGGACAGATGCTGATTATGTAGGATCAATTTCAGATAGGAGGTCAACTTCAGGTTATTGTACCACTATTGGTGGTAACTTGGTTACTTGGCGCAGTAAGAAGCAGGATGTTGTCTCTCGATCTAATGCAGAGGCAGAGTATAAGGCTATGGCTCTTGGGGTAGGTGAGTTGCTATGACTAAAAACCTTGATGACAGACTTGTGCCTTCCAGTGTCCCTTCCATTCTCACTCTACTGCGACAACAAGTCTGCCATTAGCATAGCAGCAAATCCCATTCAGTATGACAGGACTAAGCATATAGAGGTGGAGCGTCACTTCATTCGAGAGAAGATCATCTCTGGTCAAATTTGCACTCCATTTGTCACAAGCTCTTAGCAGCTTGCAGACATTCTTACAAAGGGCGTCAGCAAGATTGTGTTTGAGAATGCATTTTCCAAGTTGGGCGTTTCAGATATCCATGAACCAACTTGAGGGGGAGTGTTAGCAAATATGATACCACGATTTATGGTATGATTTACCATAATAGCAGAGATTTGACTATGCATATGTTAGCATATATGATAGCCACTATTTATGGAATGACTTACCATAATAGCAGAGATTTAACTATGCTATAAAATATGCTCTAGAATAAATTGTGATTTAATTTAGATTTGATTTAGTTTCCTTTCTTGTAATATGAGCATGTGCTCATTTTATCTATAAATACTAGAGCTATGAATGAGTAATTCATATCATTCAAGCCTTTACGCAATTCTCTCATTTCTCTTCTTTTTATTTCTACTGTTAACTATGCAAGCACTTTGGACGCTTTTGCATGTCTCTCTCTCTCTCTCTCTCTCTCTCTCTAAAAGAACTCACCAAAAAGTACATAAGAAGACAAACATGGTAAGGTGAAGCCCCTTTTCTCTCATTTAGGCCATTAAATTTCCATTTTCATTCACTTCTCGTGTGTGCAAATAGGGAGAGAGAGAGATGTAGAAATGACCACTTCATTCCATACAACCAAGTACCTAACAAAGTTCTCACATTTCATAAAAATCAATGTCAAATGATTTAACTTTTCACATTCTTACTGAACTTCCCCATCTTCTTCCTAATCAGGGGAATTCTCCAGTCCAACAAATATATTAGCAATCTATTGCGACCAAGTTGAGAAAATATCTTCTTAATAAAACTAGCAACTCTTTTGAAGTTTCAAACTTATTATTAAAGGAGGTTGTTTTGAAGTGCAGAGATTAAACAATGGCTCAGAATTAGTAGCATCATCTAGTACAACACTAAGTTTTGAAATATTAATTTAAGTTTACCTAGATTTGTTTTCCAGAATACGCATAAGCTTTATAAAACCTGAATAGCAAGTAGGAACAGTAAGAGATTACCAACTGCAGAACTTTATTAGTATTTATCTATTTCTAAAGTCATTGACACTTCTAAGAATACAAAAATTTAAGAAAGTATTTAATGTAATTCAATCTATCTATATAAAGACAATAACATGCATAAACCAACTAAGATCAAATAAAATCAATTTGAAAAAGTCAAAGCACTATGTAATCATCCTAAAGTTCATGAGCCAAGTAAAATTTTCATCAGTGTACAAGATTTGTCAAGTCCATAGGACTGACTCTATGTACAATAATGACTGCGTTGCATTGAGACATTTTTTTTTTATCTATTTCCTTTCTTCTTGGTCAAGAATGTAAAAGAAATATAGGGCCTGCTTGACATCAGTTTTCTGATAACAGTTTGAAGTTTTCAGAGAATTGAAAATCAGCTGTACAGAAACTTGTTTGGTTGCAGTTTTTTGAAAACTGTGTTTTTTAAAAAAAGGTCTGTCTTCAGAAAACGGTCGTTTATAGTTTTTTAAAACAGTTTCTGTTTTCTAAGTTCTTGAGAACTGTTTTCAGAAAACTGAGCCAAACAGACCCATAGTATTTTGTCAATAACAAGGTGACAGTTAATTATTTCAAATGCTATGGCATTTCATATAAAAGTAAATTAAAAGAAATATGTGAGTTGTGATTTCATATTAATGAATGTAAAACCATGTTTAATTAGCACCAATAAATGGCCAAAATGTCTATTCAGAAAACAAGATAAGGCACTAAGAGGGTCATATTTTTTCCTACACCAAGGGAGTTGCAAAAGATCCTTCGCAATTATCAAGGTACATGGAATCCAAATAGTGACCAACTACAATATTAAGATTAAAATCCACCATCACCAATATATAGTTGCATACCAATAGCATTCCCAAGCTCCAGCTTGTATTCTAGAGTATCTCGATTCCGATAGGAGGAGTTGAAAGAGAAACCCGATGGACCAGCTGGCACAACTCCAGCCCATATCTGATTCGCTGATATGACATGAGGATTCTCTAAACGGACAGGAAATTCTCTGAAAGGGCAACACACCAAAAAAGAGAACATTATTTATCAACTTAAGAAGTCATGACATGACCAATTGACAAGCAAAATCAACCTCCAAGAAGAGCAACTTACAACTTAAATTCCTGAGCAAATGAATCCATAGGAGATAATGTGCCAGATGTCAAAATAATAGATCCAACACCCAACCTGGAGAATTCTTCCATGGCAAGTCCTGGATTAAAACACCACCAGCTGAGCGTTCTAGATGCCTTACCTGCACCATCAAAATCAATGAAAATACAAAATGCCAATAGTACAAGAATGCATGTTATCAATTACAAAACTGTGCTGGTCTACTGGACTTGAACATCCCAGAAATGTCACGACAATGTCAGGAAAACAGAAAACTTTACAACTGCCAAAAATTAGCTTTCATGGTTTTTCCATACCATCAATATCTAATCAAGTGCCATTGGAATAAACCTCAGCACCTCACAACATGTAAATTAGATATCTTCAGACATATTCTGTGCAAAACTGGCTTAGGGTGGAATGTGGAATTACTTGTCAGTTGGGGAGGGGAACACCGAGCACTTGCCAATTATAATTAGAAGATTGAGAGGTTGATATGTAGGAAGTGTCCAAAGAATATATAATTTAAAAAATTAAAAGAAAGGAATATACATTTTTTGATAATCAAAATATCATCGCAAAATTTCTTAAAAGATAGATCTGGGATCAAAACTGTGTCTTGTTGAGAAAAATCATCAACATTTGAGTGAGAAATAAGTAGATAATGAATTTTAATTTTTAGAACTAAAAGAAGAGGCCAAAACCATAGCTCTGAACATAAAAGGCAGGCATTTCATCTGAATGGGAGGAGTGAGGTTAAGAGTTGATTCTTATCACTGATAATTCAAAAAAGAAAAAAGAGGGCAGTTCTTAACTTCTTATATATTTGTTTAAACTGTTTATGATAAAATTGCACATTAAACACTTCCCCTTTTTTTTTTTTCTTAAAACCAAGTTATTTACTAGATTAAAATAATTTGGTTATTTGATACCTTAATCCTGTCTCATGTTAGTTCCAGGTTCTTTCAAGACAGACTAGCTGCATCCAGTGATGGTATATGAAGTGGACCAGGTCAGATATTTCAGGCCCATCAAGCTTTGACAGTCAGCAGACAAAAGAGTGCCAAAATTCTAAAGACAGCATCATAGCCCAGGTGCAATTTGGACTTACGGGCCAAACGCTGAAATTTGAAAGACATCATTGCAGCCCAGGAGTAATTTGGACTTACTGGCCGGTTTTGGCCTGGATTAAAGGAAGACAACTTATTTTTCAAACTAATTAAATAAGTGAAGTCAGTGGGGTTTGAACCCCTGACCTCTTGCAACTGAGCTAGAGCCTAAAGCCTCATTTAACATAATTAAAGAGTAAACAAATAAAATTGCAACAAATGACCAAGGTTTGTAGCCTAGTGATGCTTCCTACCTTCCAAAGTGAAAGGTTGATGGTTCAATTCCTCAAAGGGGCAAAGTGGGTATGTGAGTTTCAAAGGGAGAAAAAATCGTAACAGATGAACAGGGCTTTTAGGAGTCGACCACACCAATGATGAGTCGTAACAGATGAACAGGGCTTTTAGGAGTTGACCACACCAATGATGAACCTACTCGTCCTACCTCAAGCCCCAAGACCAAGTCTAGACGCAAGGATATGTTGTGACAGGAAGAGAGAATCTCATTTGTAAGCTCAAGAAGACCTTGTATGGGTTGAAACAAGCTCCAAGACAATAGTCTAAGAAATTTGACAATTTTATTTCAAATGCAGGTTTCATAGGTGTCATGTTGATCATTGTTGTTATTTTAGAAAGCATGGTGCGTCTTATCTCATACTTCTCTAGTATGTAGATGATATGATTGTTGCAAGTTCAAGCATGGATGAGATTTCAAATCTCAAGGCACAGCTATCCAAGGAATTTGCAATGAAGGATTTGGGTGCTGCAAAACGAATCCTTGGTATGCGAATTAGCAGGGATAGAGTGAACAGAAAGTTGAAGTTATCACAATCTGAATATGTTAAAAAGTTCCTAAAGAGGTTCAAGATGGATGGTGCTAAGCCAGTTAGCACACCTCTAGCAAGTCACTTTAGGCTTTCAAAAGAACAAATTGCAGCTACAGATGAGGAGCGTGAATACAGGGCTAGAGTGCCTTATCAATCAACTGTAGGTTGCATGATGTATGTTGTGATCTGTACAAGGACAGACATTGCTCGTGCAGTCGAAGTTGTCTGCAGAATTTATGGGCAATCCAGGCAAGGAGCATTGCGAAGCTATCAAGTGAATTTTGAGGTATCTCAGAGGTAATACAGACATGGCTTTATGTTATGGTAGCCAAAAATTATGCTTGCAGGGTTTTGTGGATTCAGACTTGGCAGGGACATTGACAGCAAGAGAGCACTGCAGGGTATGTTTTTACTTTGGGTGGTGCAGCAGTCTCTCAGTTGCACAAAATTGTGACCATCTTTACGACATGGGCAGAGTCCGTAGCAGCCACACAAGCGTGCAAGGAAATGGTGTGGTTGAAAATTTTCATGAAAGAATTGGGTAAAGAGTAAGAGACTTCCATGTTATTCAGTCACTGTCAGAGTGTCATCCATCTTGCAAGGAACTCAGCCTTTCACTCGAGAACTAAACATATAGATATTAAATATCATTTCATTCACTAACGCTTGGAGGATGAACAAATTAGATTGGAGAAAATTCACACAAGAGAAAATCCTACAGATATGTTGACAACGGTGTTACTGTTGAGAAGCTGAAGACATGTTCAGCTTCTGTTCGTCTTCAAGCCTAGAAGACGAGAAAGTCTCACACTAGTTTGTTAGTGGTGGATGAAGGTATCAGTGCAATGTAGGAGATGAGTCTCCAAGTGGGAGATTATTGGGTTGCGGAGCCTAATCGTTTGGGTGTAGCCTGAACCATTTTATTTGGGAAATTAAAATGACTGAATTTATAAATAGTACGAAGGGTATTACGGTAATTGTGATGTAACCCTAGTACATACACTATTTATTTTATTGTTGGCTACGTTGCCGCCTGAGAATAAGTGAGAGAGCTTGTAATCGTATCATTATACTCCTCCATTTCTGAAAATAGTGAAACCAGTGTGGGCCGTGGACATAGACGATCTTGTCGAACCACGTAAAAATCTCTGTTTCATATTTTCTTTCTGTTTCGTTTTGTTTCCTGCCAAGTGATCTGTAAATTGGTTATATGCTTTGTGTGCTTGTTTGTTTTCCCAACATGGTCTTCCTCTTCCCCTGGTATTACCCTCAATGTGGACTGTGTCACTCTTCCTATCCGGCACATCTAAAGGTCTTCTTTGCACATGTCCAACTTATCTTAACGATTTTTCTCATTTTATCATTAATTTGTGCTACTCCAACCATCTCCCGAATGTGGTCATTTCTAATTTTATCCTTTCTAGTCTTACCGTAAATCCGTCTCAACATTCGCATTTCCACCACACTCACTTTACACCTATGTTGTTTCCTAGTTGCTCAACCCGTGCCATAAAGTATGGTTGGTCTAATGGCGGTTCGATAGAACTTCCCTTACAATCATAAGGGAATACGCCTATCACACTACTTAATGCACTCCTCAATTTAACATATCTTGCCTTCATTATATGATTAACGTCATCTCCAATTTGTCCTTTATTATGAATATTTTGAACATGAGGGCAAGCCTTGACACAACAGTAAGACTGCTCCATTGTGACCAGGAGGTCACAGGTTCAAAATAAGGAAACAGCCTCTCCGCATAAGCTAATGCCGTATATATCTGACCCTCCCCAAACCCCACAATGGTGGGAGCCTCGTGCACTGGGTTTTCGCTTTTTATGAATAATTGAACATATATAACGAAAATGTTCACTTTTTTGTACCTCTTGATTATCAAATTACTAAATACTCATTTGCATTTTTAGATTTACTAAAGTTATACTCCATGTATTAAGTTTTATTTCTACTGATCTTAAACCCTTTTAGTTCTAAAACTTCTCTCCAAACCTCCAATTTGGTATTAACTACTTCTCTAGTCTCATCAACTAAAACAATATCATCGGCAAATAGCATACACTATGGAATCTAATCTTGGATGTGTCTTGTCAGCTCATCCATAACCAAGGCAAAAAGATATGCGCTTGATGTAAGCCTACAGTGATTGGGAATTCACTTATTTTCCCCCACAAAAGTTCTAACTATAGTCACACAACCATCATACATGTCCTTTATTGTGTTGATTTTTCCCTCTAAGACTCCTTCCTTTTCTAAAACCCTCCATATTAGATCTCTAGATACCCTATCATAGGCTTTCTCCAAATCAATACAAATCATATGGAGATCTCTCTTCTTCTCTATATATCTTTCCATTAGTCTCCATCGTTGACCTTCCCGGCATGAATCCAAATTGATTAGTATCTTGAATCATAGAAGTTGTAAAGTTATACATCTCCAATATCACTGGAAAAATGTTTGCTTATTAGTATCTTGACCCTCAATCATCACCATACTTGTGCTGGGCTGGTTATTCAAAGCCAGTAATTGGTTGTCGGATTTCGTCCAGCAACTGGAAGAAGATCGCTTCGGGGGTCACTGTTGTGTGGCTGAATGTAGAGCAGTCTGCCCTTATAGCTAGTTTTGCTAATGTGAAATTCCATATTCTTATTTTCAGTCCTACTTATCTTAAACCCTCTTGATTCTAGAATCTCTCTCCAAACCTTTAACATTTATCCCTTCTCTAAGTTTATCAAATTATACTATATTACGCAGTGTGATCCTCGTTAATAAGGGTGCTGTGAGGGGTGGATTCAATATAAAATTACAAACCTAATCTTTTACATTGTTTGCACAAAGCACTCAACTGACACATTTCACGCTTGATAGCCCGATCATTTTAATAGTGCACTAAGTAATGGCCCATAAAAGTGTTTAGTTAGTTCATCCACAATTAAGGGGAAAAAAAGGTATGGGCTCATTACAGCGATTTAGAAATTCACTTGTTTCTCCCACAATTATTCTTATTATGCTCACAATTCATCATGCATGTCCTCTGACATATCAGTTTATCTATTTGTGACTCCTGTCTTTTCTAATATAAATCTCTAGGGATCCTATCTATTTGCGACTCCAAATACCATATGAATATCTTTCCTCTCTGTATCCTTGCATAAGTTTCAACGGCCAGTAAATAGCTTCCATTGTTGACCTTCACAGTATAAATCAAAATTAATTGTCCAACATTGTACCTTCACGTCTTAGTCATTCAATAACTTGTTTCCAATGTTTCATAGTATGAGTCATTGATCTTATACGTCTTGGTTATTGTTAATAGACCAACAAGAAATATTTCAATGAAATATAAGTTGCTAATGTGATGTGATGGACCAGTAATTGAAAAACAGAAAAATTTATATACGTTACAGGAAAGGAACGAGTCACATTGTTTATGTCATGCGATGGACTGATAATTCAAGAAAAAAATGAAATATTCAATCTGTTACAGAAAAGAAACAAGTTTAATATACATCAAACTGACATATGAAGTTCTGCATCAAAGATTAGGGGGGAAAAAAAAAATGTCACCATATTACCATTAAAAACAGCTGTAGCACTGGCCTCAACTTCCTGTATGTGTACCTAAGTAATAAAAAAATAAATCAAGTCAGACAATTAGCTCATCATCGCACAATAATGACAGATTATAGAAAGACAAAAAGAAAAACAAAAAAAGACAGCTTCAAAGTCACGATGTAAAATAATATATATGGATCCGACCTAATTATATGACTGGTATAATATAAGTTCCAAACATACACGATAGTACTTGGCATGAGCAGTATCATCATCTTTGAAGATTATTTTAAGAATGTCACCCATGCTTTCCAGCCTGCAAATTTTTGTCTTGTCTGGCACTCCACTATCGGTGGCACTTAAATCTTTAAAATTGAAAACAAATCAATCAATAAAAGAAACCGAGGTTTAGAAAAAATAAATAATGATAATAATAACAACAAATCTAATAGCCATCTATGTTTTAAAATATGAATCTGTTCAATGCTGATGCCTATTGCAGTTTACCTTCCTCAAGAAGCAAAGTTGCTTCCTCAATTATATCTATGAGCATAGTGGCTGTTTTATCTGTGATATTTAGATCAGCGAGTAGTTCATAAATGTAAGGCCCAGGCTTGGTAAAACCAAATTCTTTGGATTCAATAGGCACTTCAGCAATCCGCTTCTCAAGTTTCAAAAGAAGTGCTGCAAGAATACGTGCCCAACCAAATGAGTGTCCATAACTATAATTAAAGGTCAAAAAAAGCCAGCAGCAAAGTGACTAGAAATATATCCATATGCATGCTAAAATTAACTGCCACAACAATGAAACCTGATTCCCCACGGTCAACTTGGTCACAAAGGAATACAAACTGGTTTTATATAAACCTTCCTCATACGAATATTACTAGAATAGTAAATACATTCTTTATGAAAGTAGGGATATAGAATGGAGGCTTTATTTACATTTGATTATGTGATATTTGAAAAAGATCTGCCAATTCAATTTACCTCTAAGAATGGCAAAATTATCTGGTTTGCTTGATTGATCATTTGATTTTTCCCTCCTTCCAATAGAAAGATCCATACAATTTTTGGCTTCAGAAATGCAAGCATTCAAAAGCCCAGAGGACAGGTCAAAAGAGGCTGCATCAGCACATAAGCTTTCCTGCATTTTATAGGTTGCGCAAAAAAATTCTTTAGTCAGTAGCTAAGCTAATGAAACATAAATTAGTAAATACAGAACTTGCAAATTTTCAGTAAAATATTTAATTTTAGACCTCATACATTAGGAAATTTGTAAGAGTACATGAGCTAAAAAATAAGAAGAGAAGGAACATTCCAATGCCAGAATACATCAAAATTTCAAGCATTTCTACTTACCAAGTTGTGAGCTTCATCAAATATAAGTATACTGTTGTTCCACCCAATGGTGAGAGATTTTCGGTTCCCACGATCAATAAGATAGTTGTAAGGTGCAAATAAGATGTCAGCGTCTTTGTGGAGCTCTCGCGACACATAATAAGGGCACCTAAAATGGTTTAAGGCAAAAAACCATAAGTATATACCTTTTTTTTTTTTCTTGATAAGTAAGCATATACTTAATAGTTTAATTTTAACTTTTTGTACAAAGTGACGACAGTAACTAGAAAACCCACGGTCCACAGCTTCTTCCAATATTGACCAACTCCTCTATGTCAATAGGTTCATCTCCAAGACCAGGATTTTTCTTCATGAATTCTACAGAAAATTAAAATAAAAATGTAAGTAAAAAGATATTTTAGCCAACTAATACATGGAAAAATCAAAGAGAAGCAAAGTTACTTGGATAGCTTACATCCTGAAAGCTTGAAGATCAACAAGAAAAGTTCATGAATTCCAATTCCATCATATTTATGATTAATTCCTTTATATTTTTTAAATACTATGATTAGGTTCTCCAAATGACTTCAGAGAATCCAGAGGAAAAATACTATAAAATCAAAACTACAACCTAACTAAAGTGGGATAAAATGGAAATTATACATATATTATTACAAAAGCAAAATATATGCAACTCAAACAGAATTACCTGCTACACGAGGATAATGGGCACAATAACGCTTTTTGCGCTTTCTACAGAGGGAATGGCAGGCATTTGTTTGTGTTCTTCCACGAAGCAAACTCACTTCTTCATGAATGCATAATTGCTCACGAGATCCTAACACTACCATTTTGGGCCTGCATGTGATATAATATTAAGCTAATTTAAAATACTGAAAAATTTAGAACCATCTTAAGCATCATAAAGAACAAACTAGAACACTTCAAAAATTAGAACAATTTGTTAAGCAAAAGAAAACCAATCGCCTGCAGTCCCCAAAACAATTAATTGTGTGAAAATTCTCTACATATAAGAAAAACCAGCACCTAATTCTATGTTTACCTTATCATTCCATCGAGGAAAAGGTCAAGCATTTATTTTTTTGATAACTGACGAAAATGTCAAACATTTATTTCATTCATGCAACCGATGCTAATTACATGTCAATGTCAATCTAGGGTTTAGTTTTCCAGAAAAAGAAGTCCTTACTGGATCATATGCTGCAAAACATTTAACTGGTGAGATAGACTGGCTAGTTAACAATTCAAGCTGTCAAGATATTTTTTTTTCCCAGGAAATCAAAAAAAAAAAACTGTGACTGTTTTGTATAATAAAATCACATCACCCTACATTGTCAAAATTAGGTTATCACCGTGTGACATTGTTGAAATTACACAAGTCAACTCAATAAAGTCTTGTCACAACTAATTGGGTACACTAGATGAATCCTGACTTCCACCAAATAAGCATTATCATGTCTTTCCTTTGTAACTCCACCTATGTTAATTTTGATCTTCCTCTTCCCCTGGTATTACCTTCAGTGTAGACCATAATACCAAACCATTTTAGTCAATTTTCTCTAATTTGGCTTCAACAAATGCTACATCAACTTTTCAAAATTGTATTTATATTTAATTTTATCCTTTTTAGTTTTAACACAAATCCATATCAGCATCGGCATTTCAGCCATACTCGTTATATTAACATGTCACTTCTTAACAACCTATCATTCTATCCCATAAATTCTCGTTTTTCCTTCCCCGCGAGTATAGCATGATGAGCCCAAGTTATGGCAGCTCCGGATGATGGCCTTTACCCGTGGTACCATCAAAGCATTGACTTCATAGGAGCACAGAGAGAAGGAAGGCATTGCAAAGGATCCCTGAAGGTTTCTTTCGCGCACCACTACAGCGTAGGTTGAAAGAGCTGCAGATCTAATAACTCCCGTGGCTACTTCAAGTCGACCCCCTATTCAATCAAAACCTCAGATTGACACCTACAGAAGAAAGGGGGAAGTACTTAACAGGCTATTATGACTGGCAAACCTTTCAATTTATGCGTTCAAACTAATCCACGATATGCTCAAAGCACCCTCCATTTAACCCATTCTACTTTAATTATATGATTAACATAAATCATACCTATCCCTCTCTGTTAATAATCAATTTTTTTTGCTTCTTTTTATCTCTTGACAATCAAACTTCATTACACCCCTACTTGTATCTCGTTTGCTACAAATACATTCTATGTATTAAAATTTTCTCCTCCTTTTTCATTCTCCTACTTTTCTTAATTGTATAATTTTTGGTATATTTGAACTCCACATCCATTAGAAAGACTTCATTATGATGGAAAATCCATGAGGATAGTTCAATTTACAGTTCAACCAAACAATTTTGGTGCTCCACTAAAAAGAATAAAACAAATAAAACAAAACATGTCTTAGTTGCTCAAGTATGGCAGTGAAGATCCTCAAAGAATCCCTAAAAAAAAATTTAAATACTAACTCAAATAAAAGAATACTCCAGAAGGACTTCAAAGCTGAAAGTGTAACAGGAAAGACAGGTAAAAAAAATTTAGGAAAATATGTAAAGCGAAAATATTCCCTATAGAAAGCATATCTATAATCCTACATTACACTAATGTTCGAGGTTTATTAGTTAAATTTTCAATTGCCAAAGAGATCACGATAAACTCTGACCTGTAATTGGTTCTTTTTAACTCTTGAATCACTTGCCTAAGCTGGCTGTGAGTGCGTGATGTGTATATAATAGAGGGTAAATTTGAGGATTCAGATTGTGACGATGATTCCCCTAAATGCTCGCTTCCTGCATAACCTCTTCTTCCATTCCTAGAAGTTGAGAAATCTCCCAAACTCTTCCTCCAAGCCAAAGTAGCACAAAGAAGACACAAGGTTTTTCCAGTCCCAGTGGGACTCTCCAATAGCGCATTACATCTCTGCAATATCAAAAAGACTAGTGAAAATACAATAATCAGATAAAAGTGAATAATGATGATGGTTACTGGTGTAGTCACTGTGGGAAATGAGTAATGACCATAAGAACAACCTCAATATTTTTTAAAATGTAGTTGATATTGATATGCTGCTAGTGACGGTGCCAACTCAGAATTCAGAAGCTTGATAAATGCAACATGATCATCATATCCAGACAGCCACAATTAAAATCAAGTGTTCTTTAGACATCAATGTACTAGAAAAGTACAAGCAAGGAAAAATGAAGGTATATTGATTAAAATATATATATTTGTGAAACCTTGGGGAAAAAAAAAAAAAAAAAAAACACATGTAGAACCATCCAATCAAATAAAGGACCAATACGAGCACTGACAGGGTGACACAAATTTGCCCATTAATCCTTTTTTATTTTTACACCAACCTAACAACAAATTTTGGAAGAGAAAACTAAAGCCATCGGAATTACGGAAACAAGTGGTAGCATCGACCAATGATCCATGTTGTGCACCATAACAAAATCAGCTATTTGCCTTTTGTTTGCATATAGAGGACCATGGTAGCAGCAAAATAAATTTACCCATAAACCAGAATTCATTTAATTAATAAACATATGGTCCTAACCATACTAGTGCACTTCGTGATCGTGTACCACCAAAAACAGTAAGTTCAGGGTTGACAAAATGTGACGATCAGTGTTACCCATAAACAATGAGCTTTTCGTTGACAATGATATGGAGTGACCAACTTATGCATCGCAAGCTCATGCTATGAACATTGAAAATGCTAAGAGAATCAATTCAATGAAAAACAAAAATTGGGTGCATAGATGGAAATATAAAGATCAAACGTTAGGGATTTATAAACACTTTTGGTGGAGTAAATTTAAATAAAATAAATAAATAAATCATACGTCTTGTAGAGATTGGATCACTTTTTCCATGTACACGAGCTGGCAATCGTAGGCCTCGAACGGAAAATCCACATGGATTCCCCTAATCTTGTACGTTGGCATCTCCCTCTAAAACACACACTCACACACACACTCTCTCAAACAAACGCACACAGACACGCTCTCCCTCTCTAAAACAATCAAAGACACTCTCTCTCTAAAACAATTCAATTTTAAGGTCGTTAATGGGAGAGAGTGTACAGGGATGGACGTTAGTTGCCGCAAACCCTAGAAAATGAGGTAGGTTTTGTAGCCAGATTTTTCCCGCCATTCAAAGATGTTTCGGGTATAAAACGGTGCCGTGTCATATGGGTTAAAACCCGTTTATGTAAGACATTAACAACGTGGCACCCGTTGATCCGGATCCGTTGATTGATCCGAATCAGTTAAAACCTCATGATTGACGGGCCGGCGTGGTCTAAGGCTCCAGTAAAAGGTCGCAAAAATTTTTATTTCCTATTATCTCCCTAAAAAAATTATTTTCTGTTATAGATATACTAAGAAGAAGAGAGAATTAAACAAAGATCAAAAACAAGACAGCAAAATAGTAAAGTGAAAAGTTTTCTTTACAAACACAAGCTCACATGATATATATATATATATATATATATATATATATATATATATAGCTTTAAAAATGGGCTTCTTCTGTAAGCTGAGTAAGGAGCTCCTATTGTCAGCTAGGTAACGAGCTTCATTTGTAAGCTAAGTAAGGAACTTATTTTATAAGTTATGTAAGGAGTTTCTATTGTAAGCTAGATAACGAGCTTCCTTTGTAAGGAGCTTCTTTTATAAGCTAAGTTAAGTAAGGAGCTTCTTTTATAAGCTAAGTTAAGTAAGGAGCTTCTCTTGTAAGTTAATATTTCGGATAAATATGAGTGGACCTCACTTACATATATATATAACACTCCTCCTTGTGGTCCACGACACTATACTAGACTAAGAATATGCCTTTTAAAACCTTGCTAAAATGGGACAAAACCCTAGCGAATGAAAAAGAGTACAGTATTCTTGTGTATCTGAAAATGGTATTGCATAGGTTAAAACTGCCTCATTAAAACCTTACCAGAAAATCGAGTGAGACAAAACCTAGACAAAGAAAAAAAAAGTATAGTATGCCAATACCTCCTTAATCAATTGCTCCCCCTCATTGTTGCACTAGTTCAACCCTGAAGATCCTTTAATTAACACATTTCAATGTTGTGCACCAGCTTCTTGAATATTGTAGTTGGAAGCGTTTTAATGAATAAATGAACGTATCTTCTGAATATCAATATCATCATTTTTTCTAGCGTTCATGTGTATAAAATAATTTTGATGAGATATGCTTAGTCCTATCACTTTTAATATACCCTTCTTTTATCTGTGTAATGCATGTCGCGTTATCTTCATATAATACTATTGGGCATCTTTTATTGTTGAAAGACCACATGTTGTTCGAATATGTTGGATCATTGACCTTAACCAAATGCATTCCCTATTTGCCTCATGAATTGCGAGTATCTCAGAATGATTTGAAGAAGTTACAATCATTGTTTGTTTCATAAATCGCCATGATATAGCAGTGCCACCACAAGTAAACACATATCCTGTTTGTAAATGAGCTTTATGTGGGTTAGAGAGATAGCCAGCATCTGCATATTCAATTAATTGAGAATCTAGCTCCTTTGAATAAAACAATCCCATATCAAATGTACCACGAAGATATCACAATACGTGTTTGATTCCATTCCAATGTCTGCGGGTTGGTGCAGAACTATACCTTGCTAATAAATTGATTGAAAAAGATATGTCGAGTCGTGTGCAATTTACATATACATAAGAGCACCAATTGCACTAAAATATGGTACTTCAGGCTAATGAGTTATTTTCTCGATGACGAAAATGATCTTTCTTAAAATCGAGTAATCGAATAATCATTGGGGAGCTCAATTGATGGGTTTTATCCATATAAAAGTGTTTGTTGATTGGTGGACGAGAATTCCACATAATAAATGCTCAATTTGCAGTTCGATACAATTTATCCTTCCGAGATCTTTCATCTCGAATTGTTTCTTTAGATTATTGGCAGTCATTATGAGCTTTTCACGGGTTTCCATAAGGTTCAGATCATCAACATATACTACAACCACAGCAAAACTAGTATCTAATTTGTTAATAAAAATAGATGGATAAATTGCATTATTAACGTACCATGCTTTCAATAAGTACTTGATGAGGTGATTATACCATATACACCCATATTGTGTTTAATTCATACAATGGTCTTTGTAATTTTATCGAGTACATACTACGTGTTTGTTTCTGGCATTTTAATTTCTTCAAGGATTTTCATATAAATATCATTATCTAGTGAGCCATATAAAAATATTGAGACCACGTTCACAAGATGCATATCCAGTCTTTCTATGACTGCTAAAATAATTAAGAATCGAAATATGATTGCATCAATCACCGGAGAGTATATCTCCTCATAATCAATACCTGGTATCTGTGAGAAAGTTTGAGCAACCAATCAGTCTTTAAATCTTATAATTTCATTATTCTCATTTCATCTTTGTACAAATACCCAGTTGTACCTAACAGACTTTACACCCTCAGGTGTATGGACCCCAAATCCAAAGACTTCTCGTCTATCTAATACAGTTAGCTCTGCCTGCATTGCTCTTTTCTATGATGGCCAATCATATCTCTTTGTTTACTTTTTTTGACATTCTGAGGTTCCGGATCCTCATTATTTATATTAAAAGCAATTGTATAAGAGAATATAGTGTCCGCAACAATTTCATTTATGTTCCATATCTTTTCATAGTTTATTGAGATCTCGTTATTTTCAGGTACCTTTACAACATTGTCATAGTTAGCTAACTTGACCTCATCAGGTCCTTAGGCCTCGTCAGGTCCCTTTGCCATGTTTTATCAAGGGCAACTTTACCACTGTTAACTAATTGGGTCTCTTCAGGAGTATTCTTTTCATCATTCCTCGTGCTCTTTGGTAGGTGCCTCATTTTATCACTTTTAGCTAACTGGGTCTCTATATGAGCACCCATTTCATCATGCTCCTTTGCATGTACCACATTAAGTACATCTGCCTCATCAAGGGCTTTAGCATTGTTAGCTAACTGGCCTCATCAGGAGCGCCCGTTTTATTATGCATTCCTTTCTAGTGCTTTTTCGCTTTTACGGAACATAATCTTTTATATCAACTTGTCTGCCACGCTTTATGCATGCTTTATACGCATTTACAACACTGACAAACTATCCCATCGGGATGTCAATTCATGGTGACATTGTTTTTTCAGTTGGCACATATGATATTATTACTTTCTTTGTGTCAGTGTATACATTTGGTAATTGATTTGCAAATGAATGATCATTTGATCTTCTTGTTCATATTTTTCTTTGAACTTCTTGCACATATTTCTATGTACAAGGATCAAATAGATAAGCCTCTCTGGTCTTACATTTTCTCCTCCTTATAGTGGGAAGACAATCTTATTAAAATGATAATCGGCATATCGTGCCTCAACATAGTTCATAAACAAATAAGGTAATGAGCATAAAACAAACATACATACTTTTGGTGGTATAATAATATCCATAAGAGAAATAATGAAAATTTTCTATTATATGTTTCTTATAATAGGTAATGAAAGTGATACATATATATTCTACATTACTTTTATTTTAGTAGGAAAAATATTTTCAATATCGAAAGGATTGTGTGTGTCGTTCCACTGTTTATAAAGCATATGCCCTTATGTTTAGTTAATGTATTAGTCAAATCCGTACCTACTCAAATATATAAACTTCATATTTAAATGTCAAAAGAAACTTTGATATAGATAAAATAAAAAGAAGTATAAATAATTAGTGTTGATATTTTTCATGACTAATCAAAAGATTAGTTTTCCTCATAGAAATCTGAAATGTCCACAAGCATTATATGAAATTCGTTTCTATCTTTGTTCCCTTTTCTTTAATTAAGACTTGATAAAGATCAATTAAATGCTTGGAAGTACAAGTATGTAACATTTCCTCTTATATTTTACACTAATAATAAACAATTTCACACTGATCAATTTCTTATTGATAACAAGCAATTTCATGTATCATAAGGGGGTTGAGGCAAATTCTCTTCCTTTATTTGTTTCATATCATTTTGGTCCCACTGTTAGGGATACAATGTGAAATGCAAATTATAACCTCCATGGTGTTGATAGTTAATTCTACCATGATTATGCCCACGACCACATTCATGACCACAAAATGAGGTTGTATTCGCTTTAGGGTTCATTTTCGATCTGGCCAGACTGGAAATTTATGCAGCCGGATGCAACATATGTGGAGCCACCATGTCGCATTATTGACCGTAAGGATCATGTTCTTCGCAATAAAGTCATATCGTTAGTACGTGTCCAGTGGAATCACCATAATGAGGCTGAGTCTACTTGGGAACAAGAGGATGTTATTCGCTCACAGTTTCCAGATATAGTGGAAAAAGGTAAGGGCGAATTCCAAGGACGGAATTCCTTTTATTAGGGGGGAAGAATGTAATACCCCTAATTTAAAAAGGATAGTCTCGGTATTATTTTAATAGTTTTAATTGCATTTAATTATTTAGTTGTTTTATTGGCTAATTGTTTACTTGTTTAATTGATTTAATTATTTGTTTAAATTGAATTGAATGTGATTTAATTGTTTTATTTTTATTTTTATTTTATTTATTTTATTTTTATATTTTTAAGGAATTGGATATAGATAGTAGTAATTGACCAATCAATTGGGCTCCATGGACTACTTGGATAAGGGGTTTAATGGGTACGGATGATTACCCATGTATATATATATTTAATAAATAAATAAATATATATATATATATATGTAAGGAAAGTCCCTTTAATAATAATCTGATATATATTTATATATTATATATAAAAAGGGGTACACATAAATTATACGTAACATATATTTAGTTACCTTTTTAGTATTTAAATTTTATTTTATTTTATTTTTATTTCATTTTAGTTTATCTTGGAATGGGAAAAGGATTAGGGTTATTTTAGTTGCCTATAAATATATAACTATAGAGTTGTGAAAGAGGTTAGAAAATATATCACGTACTATATTTTAGAGAGAGAAAGAAGGATGAGGAAGGAAGAGAAAAAGGAAGAAGGAGGCTAGGGTTTTTATCAAATCCCTAAAGGCAAGTTTTAATTCTTCTCTTCTCCTTTGATTCATACC